TCTATTTTCAAGGCTGCAAATGAATGAAAGTTGGTGCAATCAGCTGATGACGAATATTGACACCACGTCAACCGTCATTTTACTTATAAATGATAGTTACCAAGAAACCAAATTCGTTATGATACGTAAGAAATAAACTGTGAATATGTTGAACTGACCTGTGCTCTTTGCAATCATGAGCACTACGCCAGTACACACTGTGTGTGTTCGACCACTCAACCTAGGATGTTGCATGATGGTGATGTTAGATCGTATTATTAAAGTTATTCATTGTTGTTAACGCCATTATTAAGATACCGTAATAATAATACTATTATTAAATAAAAATGTAAATGTTAAATAAATAATCATATAGTATAGTGACCACAGGCAGACATATATAATTTGTGTGTGTGTATATGTGAGTGTGTGAGTGTGTGTGTGTGTGTGTGTGTGTGTGTGTGTGTGTGTGTGGTCGTGCTCTCATTTAAAATGGATGTATGTATTATTTCGTATGGATGTATGTATTATTTCGTATGGATGTATGTATTATTTCGTATTATTTTCACATCATGAAAATAATGTGAAAAATTTTTTTTCGTAATTTTAATTGCAAATTAAAGCAATAACTTAGTATTTATATAGCACTTATGCATTTATTAAAAAAGTAAACTGCACAACTACTCCTAAAATGTAACTTGATGCTTCTTATAACCTTTGCCTGGCTGGCACCAGATAACTGTCATGCATAATTAAGTTTGGTGTGATATTTCTTCTACATTGTCTGTTCACTGCAGTTGTGTGTTGTGTCGGGTTTTAATGCACATTTAAAAAATGACTGGTGTGTGATACGCTGAGTTTTTCTTAGTGGTTGTATGCATAATTTTGATTTACAGATTCTGATAAACTTGAAAATATTTTCAAGTTTGCTTGTTGTTAGAAATATATTTATCGCTTTATATGGAAAATGAATTGAAACTTTTCCAAAATATAAAATTGTTTGGCTGAGTAGCATTGTTAAAATTGTTTTTGATTTGATCGAAAGGATTGAAAAGTTGAATTAATAAATACAGAATGATGGACATCAAATAGGTTCTAGCAATAAATGCTGAAAATAATTTATTAGCATCATTTTATAGTTGAATCACTCGAATCATTTATGAAGTCAATACTAGCTCAAAACTTTTTTTAAAATACACCTAAATCTCGAAGGGTGTAAATTAATATCAGCATTTATAAGGGGTTGAGGTGTATTTATTCCAGGATATTACCACCATCCTTATTATAACTATTGTTTAAACTTGCTTAAAAATGATAAATTCCATTTTGTTATTGCACATAATAATGGTGCTAGTACAACTAAAAAGAATATTCACTGAAATAATTTCTGAAGTAAAGATTTAATGATACGACGAACACTTACATGGACAGAATGCGCACTGCATCTTCTACACTAGTAGGCTTCTCGATGATCTGGTTCCCCATGTACACAACCGTATCTGCTCCGATTATCAGGTCGGGCAGATGCTCCTTCAGTTCAAGTTGTTTAAAAACCAAAATAATGAAATAAGCCAAAAAAATAACTAAAGATATTAAAAAGTATAATATCATGGCGTGTTATTATATAATATTGAGACCAGGTGCCTGGCACCAATCCAAGAGGTCACCCAAAGAAGTCCTGGACGCAGACCATACAGGAGGACTTGAAGGCACTTGGTCCAAGGAGACAAACGCAATGAATACATCGGCTTGAAGACAGAAGCTGATAAATGGAATAAAAAAGTTCGACCCATAATGGATGGAGACTATAAGCGAGGATTGATTGATTGAATATCATGGCATGTTGCTACACTAAGCCATCACATGCAAATTAATTTTGTAAATTTTATTGATTTTAATTTTTTCCAATTTCACACTTTGTTGCCTTAGTGAATGTCTGATTCTCAAAGATTTTGTTTTAATAACATTTCAGTTGAAAATAAATTTAATATAAGAAAGGGTACAGAATAGAGTTGATAGCTTCCAACACAACACAACAACAACACACGTTTAGACGACATTTTCCCCGAGATCGGGGGTTGCCGTTTGGCTACCTATGATGAAACCATTGCCACTTCTGTCATCATAAGTAATTTATTTGGCTAATTTTTACGCAGGACGCCCTTCCTTACGCAACCACAGTTATAAGCGGTGGGCCTTCCAATAGCTTCCAACACATGCAATTTAAATTTTAAATGAAAGATTTTAAACCTCAAACACGCTAATAGCAAGCTAAAATGAAAAGGTGAGAGAAAGAAAGAAGGAATTATGAGGAAAGTTATGATTTACGAGGTGATTTATAGAAGCAAGAGTTAGGTGCAGAGAATGGCTATGTATGTTCTTTTTAAATCAATTATTAAGTTTTATGGTATTATTGTATAATTAAAAATATAATTTATTGACCTCACCTTGTTTTTAAAGATATTCACGACAACATCTTGAGTCTTGTGCAGAGCTGTACATTTAGCATATTCATTAGGTGAGGAGAAATTGGATTTATCCAAATTCTCTTCGAAATCTGATTTCTTCACAGTGAAGTTCAAATTCTAATAAGTTGTGCATTATAGAAAGCAATAATTAAAAATTTATTTGTTCAACTAACTAAACCTTTTAAATTAAATTTAAAACAATACTCACCAGCTAACTCAACAACAACAACAACAACACACGTTTAGACGACATTTTCCCCGAGATCGGGGGTTGCCGTTTGGCTACCTATGATGAAACCGAAATACCCCTCGACGCCATCCACATCTGTCACTCGCCTCAGTATCACGCAACCCCGCTTTCACCCTGTCCTTCTCCACCTGCTCTCTCCATCCCAATCGCGGACGACCCCTTCCTACCACTCCTTCAACCTCGAACTCCAACGCTCGCCTAATCCCGACCCTTTCATCCCTTCTCAACACATGTCCATACCACCGCAATCTCGATCTCCTTATCAATGTCACAAGTCCTCATTCAGTCCCATCATTGACATCAGCTCTGTACTACTCCTCCTATCCTTCACTTTAACCCCACACATCATCCTCACCATAGCTCTTTCAGCCCTCTGCAGTACACTTTCCTCCTCTCTCCTCAACACCCAAGTTTCACCACCATATACCATCGCTGCTCTCACACATGCTTTATATACCCTCCCTTTCATCTTCACTGACCATTTCTTTCAGTGAAATACCGAGTTAGCCTTCACTCTCCTGTCACATACCCCACAGGGGTCTATTTTACTTATCACTCGCTCCCCACCTTCCCCACTCACCATTACCTTCGTCTTACCAATATTAACTTTTAACCCTTTCTTTTCAATAACACTTTTCCATCTGTCAAATTTTAACTGCAATTCTTCCATGCTATCAGCCATCAAGACTAAATCATCTGCATACAAAATCTCAAATAACAACCCCTCCATTGTTTCCACACATAACATCCATCACAATTGCAAACAGAAACGGTGATAACACTGATCCTTGATGCACTCCTACCTTAACACTAAAAGCGTCCGACATCCCCCTTCCATCCCTCACTTTGTCTTTGCCCCTTCATACAGTTGCATCACAGCTTTAACAAGTCTCTCATTCACTCCTTTCTTCCTCAACGCCCATTCAATGACCTTCCTCGGTACTCGATCAAAAGCCTTTTCTAGATCCACAAAACACATGTACAATCTTCGTTTCTTCTTTCTATAATTTTCCATTCACCAGCTAACTCACCATCAAATATATTAATTCCCATTAAAACTTTATCACTCACAGATCTAGCTTTTATTCATCGATCACCTCACATATTTAGCTTTTATTTATCGATCACCTCACTTACTCACTAAGTCATCATTTAGTCTATTAATATCAATAAGTCATCAAACATATTAACACTCATTAAAACTTTTTCACTCACAGGTCTAGCCTCTATTTATCGATCATCTCACTAACTCATCATCTAGTCTATCAATTTGCCGTTACTTCAATTTATATTCCATCATCAATTACTTTTCTTTTATTTTTCTTATTATTATTATTTATTTTATTCTAACATATTTTATTTTTCATGTTTTATCATTTTTCTTCCTCACTTTTTGTATTTATTTTCTAACTTATTTGTTTAATTTTGTTCTACTGTCTAGCATGTTGTTACAGTTTCTGCGTCTGTCAGATCCTGATTTTTAAAGAATAAAAAAAACACTATATTTTAAATTATTATTTATTTTTAATTTAATAACAATAAATATTAAATATAAACTTTATTTTTTATTGGTTTTTATTTAATTTAATAATATTAATTAGGATTAGAACATTATATTAGTTACATTTACATTCGACTACATTACATTACATACACAACACACATTACGATTACATTACAATACACGGTACTAGTAGACAGTAGAGTAGATTTATTTATGATTATTATTACTACTTGCCAAAACATTCTTTAAAATTTCTTTACGTCTTGGCGATGAACTTGCCAACAAAATAGATTTAGAAAACAATACGTCTTGAACCGGTTGCAACATGATTAAGAAATTAGTTAAGATCGGCAGACGATCTGATGAAATGACGGCTATTTATTATCGCCAACTACTGATTTGTTTACATTCATAGATATATATATAAAGTGCATAGATGCAAAAGGGGAGGTCCGTCAATGATAACAGCTTATCCTATACCTATCCCATAACAAAAATAGTAATTACACTGAAATATCATGCAAATAATTAAAAGTGATTAAATTAAACAAAATCTTTGAAAAATGAATAAAAATTATCAATGAACTACTACTATAAATATAAAAAATGTAAAATTTGATAATTCTTCAGATGACGAATATTAATTGCGAGTGTTTACATAACGACGCAAATACTTTCTAGCCAACGTAAAATTTAATTTCTTGGCTTAAATCCACGTTCTAAAATAGGTGGCCGATAATAAGCGCAAACAAAAAAGTGCACAGTAAAAAACGAACAGACGTATTTTGCTCACAGGAATTAAGTGCATACCGAAATAATGGGATATAATGTCGAAAAAATATTGTTTTAGGACCTCAAATTTTTTTACTTGTTTTTTCATTAAATCAAAAAACATTATAATTTTATTAAAATTTTTATAGATTTTGTTTGGAATATGTAAATCTGGTTTGCTTTATTTTACTATTAATTAATTTTTGGCAAATTCTATAGATATTAAATGGAAGAAATATTATTTGTATAGTTCGATATTTTATGTTTTGATTTCACAATGTTAAAAAGTATTTTAAATGGATGAAATCTTTATTAAATATGTAAACAAATGAATTACAATACATTAATGAAAAACAATAAAACAAATAATAAATAACTGAATGGAAAATTCACTAACTAACTAACCGTAAGGAAAATGTATTAAATGGGTTCCACGAAAAAATACATGCAAAAATATTTCTATTTAGATGAGCAAGACCATCTTGTGCTGCTTCCGTATAGAAAAATACTACATGGCATAATTGTATATACGCACAGCAAGCCTTTCTTTTTGAATAGATTTATCTGCATCCAAATCCCATCCAAATCCCTTCTCATATAAGTGAACATCTTCACGTTTCATAACTACACATCAATTATGACTATAGCTTGTGTTTAATGCTTTTGCCAAATACTTTAGTTTTTGCTTTTCCAATGTTCAGGGCTAGACCATATCTCTTTAATCTTTCATTCTGTGTTTTTACTGTCTTTTCCAGTTGTTCTTCATCGAGGATGTCCATAAAATCTGCAAAACGCAAGTTGTGTACAGAGACTTCGTTTTCATCTGTTTTGATTTTGTTTAATGCTCTTTCTATGAGTGATAAAAATAGTTGGTGATATTGGGTCACCTTTTCTTGTATCTATGCTAGTTTTAAACCCCATTCCAATCTCGATACATACTCTAACTTTTGATAACAATAAACAAAAAATAGATCTTTAATTTAGTTTTTTAGTGCAATATATAATTTTGTTTAATTTCATTTGTTTCATTTAATTCCTTTTTGAATGTCATCTCTTAGGATTGGATAATGCTGTACGTACAGGCTGCTTATCGTTAATATGCCTCACGCGTACCTGCACGCATTGACCATGGAGAATGTCGCTGCCCAAAACGAAGAACGTTTCTAAGCTGAACTGAAAAAAATTTCGACAAAAAAATTTTAGAAAAAACTTTTGAAACAATTTTCAAAGCTGTTCAGACAAAAGCTTCAGATCCTTTAGACCACAAGAGCCTATGTTGTTCCCACCTTGTGCTGCTTCCGTATAGTAAAATACTGCATGGCATAATTGTATGTACGCACAGCTAGCATCAGGAGTACTTATAGGTACAGTATCTACGAAAATCGTCGTTTGTTGAAAATATTCATAAATAGCATGCAAAAAATTATATTTCGAGTCAAAGCTTATTCAATTTTATAGCAGATCTACATTTTTATATTATAATAATAGGACATATTTATTTAGCAATTAAGTCTAATGTGCATTTCATTGACTTCTGTCCTATTTTTCAGTTTCAAAATTGTAAGATATTCTCAGTTTCTTTGAAATGAAACTAAGAATAACTTGATAAGTTAGAAAAAATGAATTCAGTTGATGTTAGTGACTCAGACTGATTAAGGTCCAGGTTGAAAACCTTCAAAGTAGACAAAATATTACTTTTCAAGGTTGCTGACGTAAATAAAAATAATTTAGCACCAATCTTTTCTACAAAGCAACTCAAAAATTATTTAATCTTCACAGATTAATATTTTATTTCAAATTATTTTACGCTGTTTCATTTTATTTTTCTTCTTCCAGTATAAACTTTTATTCCGTTGTATTTAATTAACTTAAGTGCAGATTTTAAATAGTTTTATTACTTATTGAACTGGTTTAACCCCAACCTTACAAACCTGTTTATTTATCAAGTTTATCATCGTAACAAAGTTTACGCCCGCCCAAAACTGCAACATGCGCATGCCGAGTGCATTTAAAAAGTCGAAGTTATACCAAAGATGATAGGTGTAAGGTGTAAGTAAGAGCACGAAAAATTTATTCAGTCACTCAGCCCTCTTATTTGTTTTTATTTATATGTTTAAATTAAATTTTAAAAATTTCGTGCTGAATAGGGTTGTGCACAGATGTCCTGTGCACTTTATTTTATTAAGTGAACTTGAAATTTTAACATGCAAATGCCGATAGCGTTGATGTTAATGTTAATGCTGATGATGATGATAGCGATGATGGTGACGATGATTGTGATGAGGATGGTGACGATGAGATGATGACAGAAGCTGATTGGATGTGCACGCAGTGGGAGGAGCTTGCTTTCTTTCAATGTTGTGTTCTTCAACCGTCCGATAACTTTATATACATATATACTTATATATTCTACATCACATTCAAATTTTTCAATCCAACTGATTTGACTACAGTAAAACATTAAATTATTTTTGCGAAAATAAAGTTAACTTTTTCAAATTTCACCAAACTTAAGAATTGCTTTGGAAGTGAATGCATCAAGTACACGGCATTGGTTGCTTTTTTCGCTTGAACACGCCCACTTCTTGTGACATCTTGCTGTCACTTTCATTCGTTCATCTACGATTCGCCTCCTATTTCGTCTTTCATTGCTTGTGTGTCTGATTTTTAGTTGATGGAATATGCTCACATTTTGAAAAGTGTAAACCAGCAGAACTTAAAACTGTGTGAAGAACAAAATTACCTTTAGGAAGAAGTTGCTGTTTATGTTAAAAAATTTTAGCAAAATAAAAAATCAATACTGCAGATCTGCTTAAACTGTTCGCAATGCAGCAGCAGGCACTGAGGGCCGATCCTGGCAGGGGTCAAAATGGGGCGCCGAATACGGCGGCCGAATTTAAAAGGCGGTCAAATGATCATTCATCGGTGGAAATAAAATCTTCGAATGCACAACACTCTTTACAAATTTTGACGTGATTTATATGAGATGTATTCTGCATATACTAACGTACTCTGCTCACATATTAACCCCTTGTATTGTATAATTACCAAGGCTAATTAGGTGTTTTCTCAAATTAAGCACCGTGTATCCAATATAATCTAATGCAGAGCAATTGAAAAAGTTCCCGCGATTTTACTAGCGACCAGTTGGGGGTGCACCAGCAGACAAGAAAAAAAGGAAAATATTGAAGAATCTGTGTAAATCGTAGTAATAAAGTAGACGGATTTTGAAAATCAACCTCCATGGAAGCGATAAACCACAACAAATTCCAGAACCGCCAGCGCCATCAACTAATAATATTATTATTTGATTTTTTATCGGTTTTATTCGGCCGCTTTAAATTTTCCGTTACCAAACTGACTATTTAAATTTTAAATAAATTGTTTTTCAATTTTTTATTAAAATTTTAAAAACGATAAAAATATAAGCAGATAATTGAAGTCTGATCAACAAAAAACTTTAGAAACAGCATTATGACTAAAAAAAAAACACAAACCCTTTCAACTATGAATAAGTAATTATGAATTACAACGATATTTTAATCAAAGTGTCCAGCTTCACGTTGGCATGGTTTTATGCGAACTGCAAGCTTCTTCATCAAAATTATTTCATACGCACAGCAGGCGGTAAGTTATTGAAAAATTTAGAAAACAAAATTATTGAAACAGGGCGGCCAATTTTGCACGTTGGCGGTCAAAGTTCTAACGTCTAAAGTGCGCGTAGATGATGTTAATCAAAGACATGAAATTTTTTTAACAATTCTCTTTTCAGCATTTCTTAGAGGTATCAACAAAAAAACACGCTGTGATGTAGGCGAGAATTTCCTTGCATTCCAACAGTCACTGCATGTTCTATCTACTTGGATTCGTTGCATGGAACTGTTGATGAAAATGCAACGGCTCACATATGGCAGCAAATGTTTACAAATAAAATCTGAATGAATTTGTAAATGGGAATGTTGCGAGTGTAAATTACGAAACAGTGGAAGTTCTTAGTAACAATTGAGGATAAGTATAAAAAGAAGTTTTTATATTACTAATTAAGTGAAAGAAAACGAAGAACTGAAGCAAAGAAAACACACAACAAAGTTTTTAAGACCTCTTCTTCCGGAGAATGATTGTTTGTTTGTTTTGTGTCGTGGTCGGTGGAGCACGGAACCTCAAAAATTGCTGGGAATTGGAGAGAACTGATGCACGATATTCACTGAGATTCACAATTTTGTTGATGAAGTTGGAAATTTATGAGATAAGAGGGATATCTCTAGAATGGTTTGCGAGCCACTTGTCGGCAAGACTTCAATATGTGGGTATCAAGGGTTTTAACTTCACGCTAAGACAAGTGGGCAGTGGTGTACCGCAGGGCGGTACACCACTGCCCACTTCAGGCCCTAAGTTGTTTAATCTTTTCATTAATGATATTTTCAATGCCGTTGATCAATCTACTCTCACCATATATGCAGATGATACGACTGTGATAACATCTCCACACAAGATATCTCATCTAGAGGTAGATACTATAACAATATTGGTCTGCACAATATCAATAACTGGAAGGTTTTAAATAAAATTAGTCTAAATATTACAAAACTAAAAAGAAAAATATTTTAAATTTTACTTTAAGAATTGGTGATAAATTTAATTGAAAGAGTGGATGAATTTAAACTGTTTGGAATAGTAAATGACTTTTAAAAAACATATTGATTTAATTTTAATAAAAATAGATAGAAACTTAAGTATAATTAACAGAATCAAAAATCAATTGAAAGATAATGTTTAATTGTATTTTTATTATGCTTTCATCTATTCGCATTTATTCTATGGAAATCTTGCTTGGAGAAATACTTTTAAAACTTACCTGCAAAAAATATACGTGCATTGTAAAAAAAATGCTTAAAATTATTTCTTATAGATAAAAAATAAATATCGACACTTTTAATAAATTAAGAATTTTACCTATATACGAATTAAATTATTTTAAATCGTGTTGCTTTGTCGCTAAAATTATGTCAATAAAAAGACAAATACATGCAGGAATCTTTTGCTAAACAATCTCAGGATGATAAGTTGGTACACACGATGCCGTCTACAGAATGTCTTCTAAAGAATAAATTAATTAAAAATACAATATCAGACAGAAATATTTGTTTTTATGGAATCTTAAAATGGGACAGTCTGACGTTGTTTCATATTCGATCATGCCTCACCTGGTATATGCCGTATAAAGACAAATTAAAAACTTGTTCTCTTCTGTTTAACACAAGGCAGGTTTACTGATGCATTGCATCTGAATGTGTCGGTATTTTGGCTCAGTACGTTGTGCATGCGTGTCTTTCGTTACTGCCTGCAACTTTTAACTTGCACTGTCTAAAATAATTGAGTTTGTTTTAAAAATAATTTGATTATTCGCCCTATTATGTTGGTTTTTATTCGCATGTTTGGTCTGTTTTTTATGATAATGTATATGATGTGTTTTTTATGTGTGTTGACGGATTGAAATATGCGTGTATGCTTAAAGGCCTAAGTGTGATGTGGATTGTACAAACTCATTTGTTTGATAGATTGTTTGTTTGGTTTTAATGTTTTGTGCTCTTTTTGTTGTTCATATTTTATTTGAAAAACTTTTGACTTACATATGACTTGACTTGACTTACATATCCTTTTATATTTAATGTGTTTATTTTTTCGTTATAACTTTCAACTTCATTAATCTCTTTTAATATTATAATGATTTCTTTCTGGGTGGGTGAATAAATTTTGAACATTTTGTCGGGACCGATTTAATTAAGACGATTGTATTCTTTCTCGGTTTCCTTTAGGTTCTCTCCCTTTTGGTTGTGTTGTGCAAATAAATTATTTTTACTTTTACACTAGCAAGCAGCAACCTGCTTCATGTTGTTATTATACGTCGTTCTTAATGAATATTTTATTATTTGCTTCATTATATTATTATATAGGACTGAATTCTGCATTAAAAATAAAAAAAATTATTGCGCATTGTTTTGTAATATGAATAACACACACACACACACACACACACTACTATTGTGTGTGTGTATGGTGTGTGTGTGTGTGTGCGTGTTTGTGTGCGTGTGTAACACCTGATGAAGAAGAATGCCTGAAGTTACTGCGTTGCATAGGGCTTCCGAGAATAATCAATAACGAAAATGAGGTTTACATATCTTACTGCCAGTTCGAATGTATAGTTGTTTGTATGTATGTTTGCATGTATCATACACCACTATATTAAAATCCCAACGTTAAATATATTTTATAACATAACATAACATAAACAGAGAATAGAGAGGCGCGAACTGACGTCCCTATGCCTCCAGCAAATATTTATTATATATACATGTGTGTGTATTTGTATATGCGTGAGTGTGTATGTGTGTGTGTATTTGTGTCATAACTTCTGACCCCATGTATATATATATATATATATATATATATACATACGTATGTTATATATTTATGTTATATATATATATATATATATGTTGTTGTTGTTATTGTTGCTGTTGCTGTTGTTGTTATTGTTGTTGTTATTATTAATACATGAGTAGATAAAAAAAATGGTTGACAATAATTTTGTTTTTATAGCTGTTTGTTTTCAGTCAAATGTGCGTCACGTGGTGTTGGTAGTGATGGCGATGATGATGGTAATAGTAGTAGTAGTAATAAAATTAATAATAATAATAATAATAACATAATAATAATAATAGTAACAATAATAATAATGATAACATAATAATATTTTTTCGATCAAATTTCAAATACAAGAAAATTGACCTTCCATGTTTTTCCACTTTCGAGATTTTGGCTATCAAATTTTTTATTAATGGTATAGATTGGGTGTTAGTATCTCTATATAGACCAGGTTCACAGCAGGTAAAGACGATATTTTTCCAGGAATTGGTTTTCATGATGGAGCATGCTTCAATTTTGATATTTTGTTAGCTGGTGATTTTAATATACACGTTGAAAGAACTGATGATGCTCACACCATTAGTTTGCTAGAGGTATTTGATATGTTTCAAATGGTAAATAATGTTAATGGGTCGACGCATGATTTGGGGGGAACTCTTGATTTAATTGTAAGCTCACTAGGATTTCCGGTTCAGGTTTGCAAGATTTTTCCAAACGGTGTATTTTCGGACCATGGTTTGATTCATGCGACTATGCCAGTGGTGAAAGCTGATCCTGTGAGAACGAAAAAATTAATCAGATCATGGAAAGTAATTGATGAGAAAAAGTTTGTCAAATTAATTACAGAATCCCCTTTGTCAAAGCCATGTGCAAGCAATGATGTAGAAAGAGAATTCAACTTATTTAATAGCGAGCTTAAGACCCTTGTTGATCAAGTTGCTCCTTTACATGAAGTTAGTTTTAGAGTTGATGTATCGGAACCATGGTTTGATGAGGAGTGTCTAGCAATCAAACGGCGTTGCCGAAAGTTGGAAAGAAGATATAGATCAAATCATGATTTGATATATAAAAATGAATGGCGTAATATTCTAAAAGCAAAAAAGAACTTTTTACTTAAAAACGTAAACAGTATTGGAACAAATTAATAAATGATAATAACAACTCTAAAAATCTGTGGAAAATATTCAACAAGATCGCGTGTAAAGATAATAAACGTGATTTGACATCGGACCAATTTTTGATTTTTTTTCAACAGAAAATTAATACGATTAAAGCAACAATTGGAGATTTAACGAAGCAGGCATTTGGAGTTAGTAGAATTAATGCAAATAATTTGTTCACATGTTTTGCTGAAGTTTCAGAGTCCGAAATTAAAACACTTTTACTTAAATCACCAACGAAAACATGCATGTTAGATATTATTCCGACGCATGTCTTGAAGAAATATGTTAATTTGTTCCTTACGTTCGTTACAAGTTTCATCAATGCAAGTTTAAAACTTGGTATCTTTCCATCATATTGTAAACATGCCGTTGTGACTCCTCTATTAAAAAATACTAAAGACAATAAAGAAGATTTAAAAAATTATCGTCCGATATCAAATTTGTGTTTCCTTTCAAAGATTGTTGAACGTGTGGTAGCTAAGCAACTTTTAACGTATTTAGAACTGCACAATCTGATGCCAATCAATCAATCTGGCTATAGGCGTCATCATAGCACAGAAACTGCGTTGCTAAAGATTTTGTCTGACCTCTATGCCTCCATTGATCGCCAGAATGTATCGCTTTTAACCATTTTGGATATGAGTGCTGCATTTGATTGCGTGGATCACAAAATTTTATTGGATAGACTAAGTAATGATTTTGGAATAACTGGAGTAACAATTGAATAGTTTAAATCATATTTGGTCGGACGAACGCAGGTTGTTCGATTTGGTGATGTTTCATCCAAAGATGGTTCAATTTCATATGGAGTTCCGCAGGGTTCAGTATTGGGATCGATCCTGTTTATACTGTATACTTCGGAAGTTATGAAAATTATTGAATATTATGATTTTAAGTGTTATGCATATGCCGATGATATCCAGGTTACGTTGACGAATAAACCAGAATCATTCAAGCAGGAGGTTCTAAGACTGGCAATGTGCTTATCTGAGGTTGATACCTGGATGTCAAACAATGGATTAAAATTGAATCAATGCAAATCTAAGTTTATGCCGGTGGCAACTCGGCAGCAGTTAGCGAAAATTAACATCAGTTCGGTAAATGTCGGTGGCCAAGAGATAGAATTCAGTGAAAGCGTAACAAATTTGGGCTTTGTCTTGGATTCAAATCTATCGATGAAACATCACTTGAAAATGCTCTCTTCGTCATGTACATACCAGTTGCACAGATTATATCGCATTCGAAGCTATTTAGATAGATCAGCCACACAGACAATGATTCATGCTTTCTTTCACTCGCGGCTTGACTATTGTAATAGTTTGTTTCATGGCCTCCCAAAGAAATCAATTAAAGTACTGCAATCCATACAGAATAGAGCTGCGAAGGTTATCGTTGGAGGATTGAAGTTCGATCATGTGAGTCAGACTCTTCATTGGCTGAATGTGGAAAAACGGATAATTTTTAAAATGTGTATTTTGATGTATAGAGCCATGAATGGAATCTTGCCCAGATATTTGTTGGAAATAATCAAGAAAAAATCAGGGACCATAGATGGCATTCGCTTGAGAAGTGATTGTTCAAATTTAATGATAGCAAACAGTGCTCACTTGTGTATTGGTGCACGAGGGATTGCTGTTGCGGGTCCTGTGTTATATAATAGTCTACCAAAGTCCCTGAAGAAGCCGGAAATGAACATGGATGCTTTCAAGAAGAATCTCAAGAATTATTTGTTTTCGATTTGATTTTTGTTTCGTTATTATGTACACGTACTCAAACAATTGTTTATTCTTTCGACTATAAAGTAGCCCTTTTGAAATTTTTTTTTTTTAATTGGCGCTTTATAAATTTTTGAAATAAATAAAAAATAAAAATAAAAAATAATTGAAATTATAACATAATAATAATAACAATAATAATAACGATAACATAATAATAATAATAATAATAATGATAACATAATAATAATTATAACATAATAATAATAATAACAATGATGATGAAGAGGATGATAAAGATGATGATGGAGAGTGTATTGATTTGCGCGAGTATGATGTTGTTTATACTGCCGTTGATCCGACATGATATGAGAGGTATCGAGCGATGTCTGTTGTCCGTCTGTGAGTTCGTGTTGCTTGCTTGTTTGTTTGTTGCTCGCGAAGATTGGTCGTTGTAGTTGTTGTGGTTGTTGTTACTTGCGAATAATTGTTGTGGTTGTTGTTACTTGCGAATAATTGTTGTGGTTGTTGTTAGTTGCGAATAATTGTTGTGATTGTTGTTACTTGCGAATAATTGTTGTGGTTATTGTTACTTGCAAATAATTGTTGTGGTTGTTGTTAATTGCAAATATTTGTTGTAGTTGTTGTTGTTATTAGCAAATATTTGTTGTTGTTGTAACTTGCAAATATTTGTTGTGGTTGTTGTTGTAGTACATCAACAACAAAAAAGGTAACACCAATGACAATAACAATATTAGTAGTAGTAACAGTAACAATATTAATAATAATAATAATTATAATAATATTAATTATTATAATTACATTACAAACTGCCTCAACAACAACAACACAAACTATATAAGCAGCAATAAAACCACAATAACAACAGATGTTTCCAAGTGTGTGCGTGTGTGCTTTTATGGGTTGTGTTTGAGTGTGTGGTGTTCCGTCATGTGACTTTACGTGTGAGTGTGTCACTGTGGGTATGTGTGCGTGTCTCTGTAGTGCATGTTTGTATGTGTGTGTATATTAGGGTGTCCCAGAAATGCACGGAAAATTTTTTTTTAATTAGTTGATGTCTCACCCTCTGAAAAGTGTCTCTTGGGTACAATAATTAAATTGGTGAAGTTACAGCTCATTTGAACAAGTTTGAGAGGTCCCCCAAGGGCTTTTAAAATTTTACTATCGAGTTAATTCAAAATCCATATCAATAATCTTAAACAATATGCACAAAATGAGTGAAATAAAGCTAGAAATGCAAACTAGTTTAATTATCTCACTGCAGACATTAATTATAGTTTAAAATATTATTAACAATTACCTGTAGAATGATAATCTTTATTAGAGAATGCAAAAAATGTATATTTTTAACCAGTCAACTTGCCATGTTACTGGTGTTGTCAACGTAGATTGGTTACTTGTCCTGCTCTCATCACTTGTCGATGGCATTACAAAACTTCTTGGAGTTCCAAGGTTAGCATCTGGATTAGGACGAGCTGCTGCTGATGCAGTTCATGAACAGATAAAATCTTGAAAGTGTGAATCAATGGTTATTGGCATGTGCTTTGACACGACAGCTTCCAATACTGGAAAACTCAATGGAGCTTGCACTCTTCTAGAAAAAACCATGGGACGTAATTTAGTATGGATGGCTTGCCGTCATCATAAGTTTGAGTGCTGCTTGCCGGTGTATATAGTGTTTGTCTTGGAACATCCACTGGACCAGAAATTTTATTCTTCAAAAGGTTTCGTGAAAAATGGACAGAAATGAATCACACTCCAGAAGCCAGATCAACCCCTTTGATAATTGTTTCAGATGCAATTAAAGCATTCATCAAATGTCAACTTGAGGTCAGACATTCTCGAGATGACTATTTTGAGTTTCTACTTCTTGCTGCACAAATAGCTGAACTGCAGGTTAATGTAGCCATTCGCAAACCTGGTGCACGGCACAGGGCACGATGGATGGCAAAAGCCATCTACGCATTAAAAATTGAACTATTATTCACCGTAAATAAAACCATTTTTAACTTAAACAGCTTGAGAATTACAAGGTATTCAACGTTTGAATCGGTTTATCATTTGTGTTTATCTTCAGTCATGGTTTTCATGCAGGCTCACTGCTGATGCACCTGTGAATGATATTTTGTTGATACAGCGTTTGAATGACTATGACGATGCAGTTCTTGGTTTGACGATTAAAAATGATGCTGCGTCATTTTTGGTACATGAGTCCAGAATTGGCAACTCTTGTTCTTTTTTCATCTCTCCTGTATGACAAAGAAAAGACTGATCTTGTCCGCACAATACAAGCAGATCGAGGCCCACATCTGATGAAAACACTACCACAAAGTTTTGACAATTTGCGTGCGTCTAAAACATTTTTTGAAACATCTAATATTGATGCCAATTTTCTTGATGTACTTGTTGAAAACTGGTCAGATACTCCTTCTTTCTAAGTTGCAGCAGTGTTTGTAAAGAATCTGGTTTGCATCAATGACTCTGCAGAACGGGGAGTAGCGTTGGTACAACATTTCAATGAAACAATCACCAAAGACGCAGAGCAGAAACAATTTTTGCTTCAAGTAGTTGAACAGCATAGGAAAAACTTTGCAGAATATAATCGTGAACTGCTAGCAAAAATTTGAATTATTTGCATTAATTAATATTCAAGCGAACTGAAATTCAATAAAATCTTGTTTTTCAATCATTTTTGACCTAATTTTTGAAATTAAAAAATAAAAGGCATCGCAGATTTATATATTTTTTCACAATTATATATTTTGTTTCATTTGTATAAACAAATCATAAAACATTTATAATCATATCATATAACACTGTATCAAAAGTTGGTAGCGAACGATCAAACACCAAAATCGGAAACTTTCGACCCCTTGGGGGACCTCTAAACATTGTCCAAATGGGCTAAAATTTAGCAGGTAAATTACTGTTACCATACAGACATATTAAATGGGGTGAGATATCAATATTTTAAAACTTCATATTTTTGGGACACCCTAGTGTATATGTGTGTGTATGTCTCTGTAGTGTGTGTGTGGGTTAGTGTATGTGTGTGTGTGCATGCAAGTGTTTTGTTTGTATGTATGTGTATGTGTGTGCGTACGTGTGTATGTGTATATGTTTGTGTGTGTCCTATGGACATTGAACATCAACTTTGAAAAAATGAAAATTTTTATTAATTTTTTTGCTAGTGAGGATGATGATGATGGTGGTGATGACGACGACGATAATGATGGTGATGAGTAGATAATGGTAAGGGCGTTGTTTTTGGAAGTTAGGTAGCTGCTGAAGATGATGGGTTGTTGCTGTTGTTTACATTGTTGTTCAGATTGTTGTTGTTAATGTTGTTGTTTGTAATATTATTATTATAATGGTTATTATTATTATGATTATTATTATTGTTGTTATTGTTATTATTATTATAATTATTATTATTATTAGAAATATAAAAACTTAAAATTGAACTTAAATTCAGTCTACAATACCTGTTCGATAATTATTAACTCATTTGAAATATCACCTGTGGGTTTTTATAACAATTTTAATCTAACTTTGTTTAAAATTTTATGGCCGAAATCTTTTAATGAAAAACTGATTAACGCAGTAATTACCTCGTCATGTAGCATATATTGTGACAGAAACGCTACTTAACCGATTTTAAATATATTTTACTCTCAAGCACTTGTTGATCAAAGAGCATGAGAGGATCGTACATTATATTTTATATTTTATTTATTTACACTCTAATATATAATTAATAATTTTCGATGGATTTCATTTGGATTTTGTTTTTCGGTAAATAAAAGAATGTTCCCATTATTATTATTATTATTATTATTATTATTATTATTATTATTATCATCATTATTATCCTTATTATTCATTTTTTGATGTTGTTTATGTTGCTGTTGTTGTTGTTGTTGTTGTGATACATAAGTTGCAATCGATATTTATAATTCCAGCACATGCAAGCTCTCTACGTCAAACCAAATGTTACCTCACCTTGCACCTTGCTGTTGTTGATGCTGTTGATAATGTTATTGTTGTTGTTATTGTTGTTGTTGCTGTTACTTTGCTTGTTCTCTATTTTTATCGTCTGTAATAAAAGAATAATAATAATAATAACAATAATAAGGATAATGATGATGATGATAATAATGATAATTATAATTTTAACAACTTTAATAATAATAAGAATAATTATTATGATGATAATGATCATATTATTATTATTAATTATTCTACTACTACTGTTATTATCACCAGCACTGCAACTACTACTAAAAGAATGCAGCCCAAGAATACCAGTTCAAAAAGGGGCACAACATGATAAACACAAAACAAAAGTGCTGTCCATCCATCCATCCATCCATCCATCCATCCATCCATCCATCCATCCATCCATCCATTTATTTATACTATGGCTTGCTATCAAATGAAAGATTCCAATAGAAATCTTTTAAAAAATATTGTTATAACCGACCCCTTTAACTTGTAGAATACGGTTATTTCTCTTTACGTGGGTTTTCAAACATTGTTTCGGCATTACAGAGGTAGTCCTGAAATGGTCTGAGTCATACCTGTTGAGACGCAAACAACAGGTACCACACAATGACGTTATGTCGACCTTTCATGAAGTAACAGATGGTGTGCTGCAGGGATCGGTCTTGGTACCTTTTCTGTTGTATACCTAATGTATAATGTAATCAGGTTCATTCTAATGTATACCTCAAATGTGCTCAGTATAATAAATGTATTCAAACTCAAATATTACGCGTTTACAGACAATGTTCAGATTTCTGCGTCATTTCAACAGCTCGTTGATGGATTTCGCCAATGTCAACTTTCGGTTGAAGATTGGATGACCAGGCAGGCACAGACTAAAATTAAATCAATCTAAAACGCAGCTCTAACCAGTCGGCATCTGGCAGAACTAAACAAACTACAGTTCAACTCAATTAGATTCAACAGCTCTGATATTGAGCTAAGCCAGTCTGTGCATAACTATAGTGTTATATTTGATAGTTCTATGATGGTGGACCTACATGTCAAGTTTCTGACTTGTGAATGCAATCAACAACTTTGTATGATGAGGCCAATTAAAAATTCGTTGAATCATGGCACACAGAAATCACATGTACCAGAGATTTCTGTGTGCCATTATTCAACAAATTTTTAATTCTCTAACAATAAGTTTAGCGGCTTAATTTTGGATTGACTGCTATTTAGAAACTGACTTGTTAGACATAACGTAAAAGAGGCTCTTACAATAGTCGATTCGTGAAGGATTTAAATTTGATCACATAACACCAATTCTTGGTAATCTCCACCGGCTTTCAATCAACAAACTAATAATTTATAAAATCGCAACCCTCATGCTCAAAGTGTTAAAGGCTCTTGCACCATGTGTGTACATATGTAGGGAATATCATTTAAAGGTCTTTTGAAAAATCCCCATTTTATATTTTTCAAACATTTTACAAATGCTTTAAATACCTTACCCTTTAGGCCCAATGGTGTACTCATAAAACACAGCACTGAAGCCTTTTTACTGAATTATTTACACACAAACACAAATGGATTCACGGAAATTTTTTTGAAAAAACTTCTTCGCAAAAAATTCTTTGCAGAAAATTTTTCGCAGGAAAATTCTTTGCGAGAAAATTCTCCATCAGAGCAGCGAGGGTTGTCAATGTGATCAAAGGTGGAGCAAAAACAACGCATAATGCCACTCATCGGATAACTATGGATTCACAATCAGTCGCTGGTCAATTGTCTTACTTTAAGGACGCATGGATTGGACGTTCAAATTGTCGTCAGTCAAAGAAAGCCTCCCAGTTTTCGATACGAACCATGGAATTGTTATGATGCTGCATTAATGGGCGCTCCTAAAACTAATAATTCTTGCGAAGGATGGTATAGAGCTTTTGGCGAATTAATTGGAGCGAGTCACTCGACTGTTTGAAAATTTATGAATAGAATTAAAAAAGATGAGCAAGCACTAAACGAAGGTAAAATTGAATAATTGCTCGTCGGTGGAGACCGCCCAGCAACGAAAAGTGCTGTCCTGATACTGCCATAGGCATTCAAAAAAATGTGGAAAATTATGCGAATCGAGACATAATGGATTATTTACGTGGATTGGCTCATAATTTTAATTCTTGAACGGAGAAAAATTTTTTCCCTGCGAAAAATTTTTCGGACACACAAATGTTATTGTAGAGGACACAATATACATAATAAATAATAGATAGAATGTACAATTCTAGTTATTCACCACTACCAATTCCAAAAGATGAATTATGGTAGAGCCAAAGACCCTTCATTGGTCCGGGTAACAAATTATACTCGCAAAAAGACGGCGTAGCTAGGGCTCTCCATTAAGAGTATTTCTTGCAAATTTCTACGTTGGACATGTCGAAGAAATATTGAACTTCCACAACGACTAGATTCATCAAAATTAAAGTTTACAATTGTAAAAACAACTAACAATAAACTACCATTCCTTGACTGACGTACGAATAGAAAATACTCGTAATGAATTTAAAATCTCAGTTTACACCAAAGCAGCAAACAAAGTTTTTTGTCCTAATGGAAATAGCGTATGTTGTCAAACATATCTAGAAAGCACGATCTCTGCTTTTGTAAACTATAATAGGCGTCTGATTTTCTTAAAATAAAAGTTTTAATTAAATGTTCAAATTTGTGTGTGTGTGTAGTGTGTGGTGTGCGTGTGTGTGTGCGTGCATGTGTGTGTGGGTGTGCGTAAATGACAAATAAGCTACGAAACAACATTAAAATAATTGGAAATGAAATGAAATTTGTATTAATGTAATTATAATGATATTATTAATGTAATTATAATGATATTATTAATGTAATTATAATGATATTATTAATGTAATTATAATGATATTATTAATCAATCAATCAATTAGTTTATAAAGCGCTATTTCCGCGATGTTCAAAAGCGCTCCTCAATGAATTTTGAAAACAGATGGGTCTTGAGATCCGCTCTGAACTTCACAAATGATGGAGAAGTAGTCAAAGAAGTAGGTAGAGAGTTCCAGAGAAAAGGACCAGAAAAAGCAAAAGCAGATTTGGCAAAAAAAGTGTTTAACAAAAATTAAGAAAAAGCAAGAAGAAGAAGACGATCGTAAACCGGGGCGTTTAGGTTCAATTAATATATCTGATAAATACTAAGGAAATAATTTAGGTTGAGACTTATACATGAACGTGCAAATTTTAAAAATTATTCTATATTTTATAGGTAGCCAGTGCAAGAGAACAAGATATGGAGATATATGAGAAAAGAAAGGGGCACGAGCAACTAGACGAGCAGCAGAGTTAAAAGCTTTACTTAAAGGATAGAGTATAGAGTCAGGAAGACCTTAGTAGAGCGTCATTCCTAGATAAGACTAACGAAGTAACAAGAAGGAGAAGAGTAGGATCATCAAGAAAAGGCAAAAGTTTATTTACTCTACATAGACGAAAGTAAGAGCTTCTAGCAACACTATTAATCTGTGAAGAGAGAGAGACATAGTAGAATCAAAGATAAAACCTAGACTACGAAACTTATGAGAGACATCAAGAGTTTTAGAATCAGATAAGATAATAGGAGGAATAGTAATAGAGTGTTTAGATTTATTAAAACAAATTAATTCAAACTTAGAAGGATTAAGTTTAAGACACATAGAGTCAGACCAAGCGATAATTGAAGAAAGACATAGAGATAAATTATGAAGAACACTATTGAGATTAGATGGAGCAAAAGAAGTATAAATGTAAGAATCATCAGCATATAGTTGACTAGAGAAAGAAAAGTTATTAATAATACGAGGTAGTTCAGAAGTATAGAGTATAAATAGAAGAGGGCCAAGGATAGAACCCTGAGGTATACCGAAAGTAAGAGTAGAGGAGTTAGAAGTAGAATTATTGAGAACAACAGAAGAAAAACGATTACAGAGATAATTATGATATTGATATTATGATAATGATATTAATAATGTAATTATACTGATATTAATAATGTAATTATGAGGATATTATTAATGTAATTATAATGATATTCATACAGAAGCACAACACAATGAAGGAAGGGGTAGAAAATTTATTGATGTCATTGAGAGTCACGATAAAAAAAATTATTAGCTAGCATTACATTAAACCTCAATATTTCTAACAGATACCGTCTCGGAGAAAACACCATCTGTTAGCCCTACAAGCAATAGTCAATAGAAGGCTTTCACACACCACACACACACACACACACACGCACACACACACACACACAACACACACATACACACACACACACATACATACATGCACACAGCCCTACAAGTCAAACACACAAAACACACACACATACACACACACGGATTTATATGTATTTATATTATATGTCGACCAATTAATTAATTATTTAATTAATTAATCAACTAATCATCTAGTCTATCAAATCATCTAGTCTATCAATTAGTCAACCAAAATGTATGTATGTATCTATGCATGTGTGTATGTGTTTGTGTATGTGTTTGTGTATGTGTGTGTGTTTGTGTTATTTATATCAATAAGGAGTCAGTTATTGATCAATGCGTCCATCATATCACATAGCATGTCTGCCATCACTTAACAACTACTTAATGGCTTATTATTTTTTAAAATATCATTATTATTATTATTATTATTATATAATAATTATTATATTATTATTATATAAAAAGAATATTGTTTTTATTGCTGAATAAAAGATTATTATTATTGTTATTATTATTATTATCATTGTATCAACACTTTATGATCATCATTATTGTTATAAATTAATACCATTACTTATCGTTATACCGATTATAATAAATATTATTTAATATCATTATTTATAATAATTATATATATATATATATATATAAATGTATATATATTATATGTATATATATATATACATATAATATAATTATAATTATATTTACTTATTATTTTAATTATTATTAAAATTATTATTCTCGTTATATTTATTATTATTTACATTATTATAGTTGTAGTAGTGAAAATAGTTATTATCATTCTTCTTCATAAGTATAAACGTCGATTTTGTTGTTGTTGTTGTTGGTGGTGTTGTTGTGTCGTTGGGGAATGTTTGTTGCTTTTGTTATTGTTGTTGGTGGTGTTAATGTAGTAGTAGTAGTTGTTGTTGTTGTTGGTGCTAATGTAGTAGTTGTTGTTGTTGTCGTTGGTGGTGGTGTTAATCTATTTGTAGTTGTTGATAATGTACTAGTTGTTGTTGGTGTTAATGTAGTTGTTGTAGTTGTTGAGGTGGTTGTTTTGTTTTTGATGGTGGTGTCCTTGTGGTCTGCGACAAATTTTTTTTATTTTTGGCCATAATGTAATGGCTAAAATGATGATGATGAAGAAGATGATGATGAAAATGAGGACGATGAAGAAGAAGAAGAAGATGATGATGATGAAGAAGTAGATTATGATAAGAAAATCAAATAAATTATTTTTATTAAAAATAATTATTATTGACGATATGGTGGAGTCATTTTTAATTGTTTGTGATGATGGCAACACATTAACAACAAAAACAAAAACAATATCAATAATAACATTGGAAATAAAATCGTATCATTAATGATAATTTTTTCACCGTAGCGTCATCATCATCATCACCACCATCACCACCACCATCATCATCACCAACGCAAGTTCTCCATAGGCCCAAACCCACCACCACATCTGCAAAATCACGCGATCATCATCATCATTATCATCATCTTCATCATCATCTTCATCATTATCATTTTCATCATCATTAATCATCATCATCTTTTCATCATCATCATCATCATCTTCTTCATTATCATTATTATCATCATCTTCATCATCATCATCATCTTCTTCTTCATCATCATTAATCATCATCATCATCATCTTCACCATCATCATTACTATCATCATCTGCATTTTATTCTTGTTACCACAAAGTAATTAATTTTATATAATCTTTATTATCGCCATCAATACTATTATCACCGCTCAACACTTATTGATAATATATATATAAATAAATATATATATATAAATATATAAATAAATATATAAATAAATATAAATAAATATATATATATATATGTGTGTGTGTGTGCGTAATCATCATCATCACGAACATCACACTTGTTGAAATCAGCGCCATCCTCACCCTCATCATCACCCTCATCATCACCATCATCATCCCCATCATCATCATCACGACTATCACCATCATCATTATCACTGCACACACACACAAACATCGTAGCAATCCATCAATCGCTACTAGAGAAGAGAGCAATAATGAAACATGTTGATCACGCAACCCCCACCCACCATCCATCGATCCCCAGCGCACCTCCCACTCCAACCTGCCTTTATAAGGCACTGCTCAGTCGGCTCGTGCATCGAGATGGTTGGTGAAAACAAACCGTCAAGCGAGTGAACAACTTTAAAGGCTGACTGAATAAATAATTATTTCACTTTTAATTTTCAAATAAATTAGCCTTCATAACGAGAAAGAGTCCATTCAACGTTACAACCGCCAGAGCAGTCGTTGCCAAGAAATTAGCATTCTGTTATTTTTTTAATTTAAAGCCATCTATTTTCTTGGTTTTTCGCTGAAAAATCAAAGAAAAGATGGCGACGTCTCGAGTGATGACGTCATCATTAATTTTCCTCGGGACCATCTGCCTTCAAGCGCTACACGCTCAGGACTCGGCCAAGTGGGTTCAAAAAATGATGTCATCCCGTATGGCTGATGGTGCTCGTGTGTGATGATGTGACTGACGGTGCTCCTTTCACATCATCTTCTTGATCAGCTAATTTAATGAACATCAGTCTTTTTCAATATTTGTTGAGGAATGTTTGTGAATTTATTTTTTAATTAATTATTTTATAATCAAATATATCCAATTAATATAAAACCTAAACTAAACTCCCATCAACCATCACCGTTCAGTCTTGCTACAATCAGTGCACCAGCTGTTGGGGACCCGACAAATTTTCCTAATCCCAAATGTTAGTCTTGTTGTTGAGATACACACTTTATGTTATTGATTGTCTGTTTTTTGTCACTGATTTCAAAGCATTTCAAATGTTTTGGCTCTCTTGGGATTGATGAAAAACATATTTCATTGTTGAAGCTTGTTTAAGAAGCACGGATGTTGATTTTAAAAGTCACCATGTGATGTCGTTGTTTGTAGAGGTGCGGCGTGTGATGTTGTTGTTGGAGAGGTTGCATGTGAATTTGTTATTTGTTGCACGTACAGGAGTAGCGAGGTTCCACCTAGTATTTTGATTTAGTTCAAAACTTTTTATAACGTAAGACAATGGCGAGGTAATGTAATGGAAACCAATTAGAATTTTGGAATGTTTGTTGTTCAAAACCGCACACACGCACACACACACAAACTAGCACACACACACTAGCACACACACACACTTATGTATATATATATATATAATTAAATAAATCATCATCATTAAATTTTTAAATTAAGACTAATAAAATTAAATTAATTTAATTGTAACAAAAAAGCTTTTTTGGCATTATTGTCTGTATTATTTTTGGCATTATTGTTTGTAATGGCCCTATACCTAATTAAATAGATGAATAGTTATGTGTGAAAATTTGTCGACATGCCACAGCAGGCACGATGGCCACTGGCCAGTGGGACACGCATTCTGCACCACCTCCCGCCCGGTTTTAATGCAACAAAAAATGATAAATTTGCTGAAGCGTTTAATGAAGTAAAGCATTGGAAATGAATGAAATATTAAACATAACAAAGTGTTATTTTGCAATTTTTTTAGCGCCGATGTAGTGAAAATACTTTTAACAAAATAATCGGTTACAACTACATATTTCATTTGTGAAGCTTGTTCAAGAACCACAGATGAACTACAAATCTTCGTAAAAAAACTGTCAAAGACAAATTTAGTTTGTTTAGTTTTTATAACAAAAAATGCGTCCTTTTGCAATAAAATGGTTAATCTTTGTGACTGAACCAAAATTTTAGGTTAAATTTTACGTATTTTTGTATAACTATAAATTTTATTTTAATTTTTTATAACTGCTATGCATATCTTAAACTATTTTTGGGAAATTTGGGAAAGGCTTCAGCCTCCTAGGCCTCTATTGGCAAAAACCTTCGAGTAGTTGTGTTATTACCGTTTATCGATAGGTACAAAAATTGTTTTCCTGAAGAAGTTCAACTTGGGTAGTTATTATTCGTTGAAAGGGCCTAGCAAGTAAAATAAAAACATTTGACTTCTACCAACCTTTCAATAAAAATTTGAAAAATTTTCTTTTTCAATAGTGGTGCCTTAGCGTATAGAAGGTATGGTATGTCCACAAACGACCAACAAAAAAATTCTAAAAATTTCATATAGCGCCACAGTCAGAGTTACATTCAAAATTTTACAAAGATGTTTGCCTCTTACGGATATTTCGCATCATAGTTGGAATAAATTGAATTCAGAAGTTTAAAAACGGAAAGACCTATTTATAAGACAAAAATTAATATAACAATATTTTATACTGTGGTGAATTTATTTTTAAAAGCAAAAAAAAACACACAAGTCTCTCTCACAAAGCGCATTTTTATGTCTTTCCCAGTTTACGAGAAGAGCACAAAGTACTGTTACGGGGCCGGCAGCAATTACTGGAAGACATTTGATGGGGCCGAGTTCATCTTTGAAGGTTGCTGCTCGTACACACTTCTGCAAGATTCGAAGCGATGGATATCCCTGAAGAACCTTCAGTGTGGTTTTGCGGGCAGAGCCAAGGTGAGATGTTTGTTGGACCATGTACCAGGTGACTGATTGAAGAGTTGCTTGTCAAATGGACTATTGACAGACCAAGGAATTAATTACAAAATTTATTAAAATAACTGATGTGCAACTGACCAGTACAGAAACCAAACAATTTAATAAAAAAATCGAACTGAATACATGAATACTAAATCAATTCAACTGGCTGATCGACCAATTAATAACTCACTCACTCACTCACTCACTCACTCACTCACTCACTCACTCACTCACTCACTCACTCACTCACTCACTCACTCACTCACTCAATCAATCAATCAATCAATCAATTAATCATTCAAGCAATCTACCAATCAGTCCAGCATTCATTCAATAATTCAACCAATCATTCATTTATTCAATCAACCAACCAATCAGTCAACCAACCAATCACCCATATTATGAACTCAGGAGTTCACCATTAAACCAGATGGCGCCCACACCATTGTGGCTACCTGCTCAAATATCACAGTGAACGATGAGGCTGTACAAGTGAACAACCTTAACTTGGGATATGCAAAAGGAGGTGAGATCATCATTGTCATCATTCTAATGACAGTCGTTATTATCTTTATCATCGTCATCATTATTTCAAGGTGCTCCCTTAGATTATGAAATGAAAAACACCACTTTTACGCTCACGAGTCTTATAAAAATACTTAAATATTGCTTTTTTCTTATGAAAAATTTTTAAATAAATTGAAATTATGATAAGAATAATTTGAAAGTATTTCTTGACAGCTGTTCGAATAAACAAGTTTGGTGAGTACTACGTCCTGAGATATGGAACGCTGACGATGGGGTGGGATTGCGATGGATCCTGGTTCATTGAGCTCGATGAGCCTATCAACTTCGATAACTCAACAAACCCCTTCAAAGGAATGTGCGGCAACTACGATGGCGTGGCGAAAAGTTTGCATATATGCCTTTAGTTTTAACAATTCATTCGAAGTATTTTTGCTACTTATATCTAGCTGCTTATCGGTTGCTTGTGTAATTTTTCACATCAACTGCTAAATATTGCACGTACTCACAACTGTTCGGACCATGCTGACTTCCACACAAACTGGCTTTTGTTCATCGCTCTCAAACTGCATTAAACTTACAAATTTTCATTGTTCTTTATTTTTTGCTAAGATTTGCTTTTTCATTGGTATGAGCAAAATTAGTGGAAATAATTTTGACAAACATTTACGCGGTATTCATTTAAACCACCAAACAGACGATTTGTTAATAAACGGTGAAGATGTTGGTGTTCTAAAATTTGGAGATTCTCATAGCTTCAATTTTGAACAGGTAACTTTGAAATGTTTTATCAGCAATTAAAAAGTTATAAATTAATTTTTCAAATAAGAAATTAAATGAAAGAATTATATTACAAAAAAACAGTGTCCCAAACCTGAGGATCCTCCAAAATGTAGTAACAACGTAATATTGTTAGAAGCAAAAGAAGTTTGTTCATCTTTCACAAAATCACCATTCAGTGAATGCCACAATAAGGTTTGGGTCTCTTTCGACTTGTACACTGCATTTCTTTCATCTTTTTTTAAAAGACAAACTCGTGTCAACCACTTCAACCAATTATAACATGCAAAATAAAATTGAATAAATTATATTTTGAGTATTCAAATCTAATGAAGGTGAGCTACGAAAGCTTCTACTCGAGGTGTATTAATGACTACTGTTTGGCTGCTGAACAATTACCAGGCCAGCAACACGTTTCGAATGACGTCGCCTGCAACATTTTTGCTCAGTACAGTTTTCTCTGCGGTAAAGAACAGTTCTGGTTTAATTGGAGAACTGAAGCATTCTGCAGTTAGTACTCTTGATCATATCAATAAGAAAAATAGTATCTATAACACAGATTGAACAAATAATTTTATAATAAATATTTGCATTTAAAAAACAAACAATTTTGTTATTTTTTCACCATAAATTGCATGAATAATTAGCAGGAAGTTTCATTTGATGATTTTTCCAACCACAAAACAGCAAAACAATGTGCCAACCCCATCATGAAGTTCGTGGAAGATTTTTCTGAATGCACGCCTTCCTGCCTGAACGTCGATTCAACGGAAACCTGCATCGCCAAGAACAAGTATCCAGCTTGCACGTGCTCCAATGGCTACCTCTCAGACGGGGACAGTTGTTACCTTCCCATGGATTGTCCGTGCACTTTCAGAGGGCAGACATACGCTGCCGGCGAATACGTTCAAACGGACTGCGAAAAATGGTTGACTGTGCATACTTATTTCTGAAAATATATACTAATTTAATAAAATTGAAAATGTTTTTAATTAATTAAATAAATTAGTTACAGGACAATTAGTTTGCCAAAATATTGTTAAAGGAAATAATTTCAAATACGAAAATTATTAATAGAATATATGGTTTGAAAATTAAATATTCCACAGTTTTTGTACTTTTGGAAAGTTGGAATGCACACATTACAATTTAGCAAAAACTTGTTCTATCTATGGTTTTGAACATGTCACCACTTTCGATGGATATGACTATTCATTTAAAACACCGGTGGATCAATACACTTTAGTTCAGGTTAGTCTGCCCGGACACATAAGTATATGTGAGTGTGAGTGTACTGTGTTAATTTGTTCATAATCAGTCCTACCTCCTTGTTAATTAAGCATAGGCAAGGCACGTCTCAGCAAATTACATTCCTTTACAAAAAGTTTGGCTTCGCTGAAAAAAGTCACTATTATAAAAATTGAACTTGATTCAACATTGACTTTAAATAAAAAAAAAATAAGACAGACTACCAAATTAAATGGGAAGTAATAATAATTCTCGGGCGCATAAAACCTATTTCGATTCTTCAATCATCTTCAGCACTTGTTGAAGTTTATACAGGGAGTTTGTGTTACTCAGGCCTTTGTCCCCGTGGTTTGCATTTATTGTTATCCAATAAATAATGACAACAATTTAATAAAATGAATAATGACGACTAAATTTTGGTTAGAAATATTGAAAAATGTAATAAAAAACTACCCAACGCTAGAAATTTCGTAGATTTCATAAACTTCTGCATAATAAATTCCACCGATTTATTAGTGTTTATCAACTTATATTCAAATTTTTCAATTTGTCCTAGAAAATTTGTATAATCAAAATTGAGTCTGTTTAAAATTGAAGCTTTATTTTTATAAACAAACATTTTATCCAAGTTATTGTAGATAGATCTATTTCGACGTTAAACCATTAACATCAGTGCATTATTTATTAATTTATTAATTAGCAATATTATAGTTTTAATTTTATTAAAAATATATAAATAAATTCGAAAAAGAAACATAAAATTCTAATGTAAAATTTTAACAACGAAAATTTTTTAAATTTGTTAAACGATAGTTGTCAAGGCGGCAAAAACAGCGTCAGAATTGTGAGGCGCAAAATTAATTCAATTTATTATTATCATTATTGTTATTATTATTATTATTACTGTTTTTATTATTATTATTGTTTTTATTATTATAATTATCATTATTATTAAGTTATTATGTTGTTAATAATAATAGAAACTATAAAAATAAAAACAATAAAAAAATAATAATAATATTAAAACTATAATAATAATACTAATTAATAAATTAATAAATAATGCACTGACGATGACGGTTTAACGTGGAAATAGATCTCTCTGCAATATAAATATATATATAAATATCTATATAAATTATATATATATGTATATATAAATTATATATATATATACATTATATGTATTCGGTAGATTTCATAAATTACTACACTAATTTTGGTCTTTTACCAGCATTCACTAAAATATCTACGGCCAACCGAAACTATCCAACGCTAAAAATTCGGTAGATTTCATAAATTACTGCCTATTGATGAAAACCCCAGCATGTTTGGCTTTAGTTAACTTCCAATTTAACTTTTCGATTTTTCTAAGGGTTGATCGTAAATCATTATCAAGTTTCTTTAATTTAAAACCAAAATTTTTGTTTACTAACGCCGAACATGCTGTGATTTTCATCAATATTGCATTTCTGACAGTCTTTATCTTATATATATATATATATATATGTATATATATATACATATATATATATATATATATATATATATATATATATAATATTTGTGTGTGTATGCAAGCCTATTTGTTTTGGATGTGTTTGTGTACAAGGTTCTGAGTAACTATGTGATGCAAGAATGATAAAAGTGCCGTCCAATTAAAAATTTTTCTAATCTTTACTTCACAGTCAACGATTGAGCGAGGTGAACCCGGGTATCTGCACATCTCATTTGAAAATTTGAACGCAGGAAGCCCTGAATTTTTTTATACACGACCAACTTCGTTGAAAATTGAGTTCTCTTCAAATCCCTCACAAAACGTCATACTGGTCGCTGAGGTTAAAAAGCATAAGTTTGTCGTTAGCATAAACGATGTCGTGAAAGATTTTACTAAAGAATCATCATGCCAAGAAAATAATGTTACTGTTGCTTTAATACGAGACAACGCTTTAATTATCAACGGTGATGGATTTCAAGTGAGGATGATGAGTGGCGGGGATCTCTTCGTCAGGCTTGGTCTCAATTATATGTCTAAGGTTTGCACACTTTTTTGTTTTATTACAGCGTAGTTTACAATTTGAACAAAAACTTGATAACTCTTATTTTATAATTTTGAATAAATTCTTTCAATTAAAAAATGAACTTGTTGCGATGATTTACCAACACGTGAAGACAAATGGTTTGTGCGGCAACTATAATGGTAAAGAAGACGATGAGTTTATGTCAAAAGATGGCATAGTCGAAACAAAAGAGAGCTTCTTGAAATCATTCAGTGGCAGTCACAAGTGTTTCAACACAAGCAAAACCGATCCTTGCACATCAAACACCGCTGTAAGTTTATTTTTTACATTAAATTATTTAACTAGCACAAGTTATTAAGTAGGATAACATATAGTTATTTAATTATTACATTGTAACACAATTTATTAATAGTTTATGTTTTTGAACATTTATCTTGGCTATTTTTTTGTTCCAAATTTTAAAAATAATAAAAACGAGTTCATTATTTTATTTGTTTTTTTTTACGCAATATTTAAAATTCGTAAGATTGAACAATTAAATATTATTAACCTGTAAGGTGGCAGCTAGTGGAAAATTACAAGAAAAGTGCAATTTGCTGACCGACCCCACGGTGTTGGGTGCACCTTGTGCTGGTGCTCGATTCAACAAACAAAATAAAGATTACTATTATGAAGCCTGTTTGGAAGATTTGTGCGTTGAAATCAATGCGCCAGATTTAGGCGGCGATGCACCTCTTCCTTCTGTTTGCCACTACATTGAAGCCAAGGCGCTTTATTGCTTGAAAAATGGAATCAGCGTATTTGGGTGGCCGAACAAAACAATAGCAACAACATTTTGTCGTGAGTTGTTTCAATTTTCGCAATCTTGTTTGTAATCGACTATGTTCTAATATGATAGAGTTTGACATATTAAAGCACACACACACACACACACACACATACACACACACACACACACGCTACTAGGCCCGGGACGCCAAAGGGGACAAGCGCCCCGGGCGGCAAATTTCAGTGGGTGGCTCAAAATTAGAAATGTTTTAAAAATTAATAAACTATTTACAAAATTTTGATTAAAGAAACATAACATAACAGGGTTTAAAGTGGTTCAGTAAATTAAAATTAATGTAAGAAAACCACTATGAGATAAGTGACCTAATATCCTAACTTTCCGAGCTAGGTCTTGGAAATGTTGATTAATACCGCGGAGACCGTCTCATCATTTGGATCAGTCCAGGTGTTTAACACTACTGCTAAAAAATCTTTGCTTGACGGCATTTTTAATTTTTTTGGAGAGTTTATATTTGTGGCTTCGTAATCCTATTTTACAGTTGAAAAATTCTGGTAAGCGGTATTTCTTCTTTCTTGGTCTTTTGTTCTTCAGCCAATTGTTAATCCATTGAAAAAACTCCCAGATATCCCACATGCATGTAGCTTCTTGGTAAGTTGTTTGTTTGGCACTTTATCAAACGCTTTTGCAAAATCCAAATAATTTATATCTACGGAATTCTCACTGTTTACGTTTGCATACACTTTTTCAAAAAACTTAAAAGATTTGACAGAAAGGAACGTCCTTTCATGAATCCTTGTTGGCTGTTTTCGATTATTTTGTTATTCATCAGATGCTTAACCATGTTCAATTTTACTATTTTTTCTAGAACTTTGCATAGTATAAATGTTAAACTGACTAGCCTATAGTTGCTAGTAACACTCCTACTTCTTTTTTTAAATAGTGGCGTAACAATGGCATCTCTCCAGTCTCTTGGTATTTCACCCGTGTTGATGAATTCAATAAATATTTCAGTTAGAGTGGCTCCTATTTTGTTTCTCTCATCTTTTAAAAACCTGGGACGCAGTTTGTCTATTCCTAGAGTTTTATCTTCTCTAAGAGATTCTAACATTTTAACAACTGTTTTTTTTCGTAATATCTATACTGTTGAGTATCTGTTCTTGTTTTCTTTTAAACAGTATCTCAGGCTCTGGGATGCATTCCATATTCTTGCGTCAGTATTGATCTGAAGTATTTGTTGAGGATTTTCGTAGTTTTTTCCTTCGTGTTTCCTTTTTGTTTACTTCTCATGTAACTGTGAAAGCTTTTACAGTTTTTTTTATGTTTTGACTCTGCTTTACCTTGTAGTCCTTTATCGCCTTTTTGTTTATTTTCTTTGCCAAGTTCTTCTTTTTCATATATTTTTTTCTTGCTTCCTCTAGCTGACTCTCACTCTTTGTTTCCAGTAAGCTTTGGTCATTTTTGCGTATATCCTGCAATCTTTTCCATGCTCTGATTTTTGTTCTCCTGGCTTTTTGAACGTCCTTGTTCACCCAAGGACATTTCTTGTTATATTTTTGTCGGCTGGTATTGTTTTTTCCACAATTTCATTCATGCATGACACAAACTGCTTCCACTTCTTTTGTGTTTCAAGTCCTGCCAATCTGTTTATTAAGTTTTTTTTCTGATTTGGCTTCCGACTTTGTCATAATCTGTTCTATAGTAGTTGTATTGCTTTCAATATGCAGCCACTTCGATTTCATGTTCCACAACTATGTTGAATCTTATTATCTGATGATCAATTAAACCAAATCTTTCTCCGACTTGCACATTTTTGATAATATTTTTTTCTGTAAAGATCACTAGGTCAAGTACATTCTCTTCCCTCGTTGCTTCTATTGCATGCTGTGTTAGAAAATTTTTGTCTATGCATCTCAAGAAAAGGTCGTTTGTAAATATTTTGCTCTGTGTCTGGTTCTATCTATATGATAGTTAAAATTTTCCATTATAATAGCTCTTTTGTAACTTTGTTGATTAGTTTGTGAAGTCCATTGTCGTTTTTTCTATTTGAATCAGGAACTCTATAACACAATCCAACCACTATTTTCTCGTTTTTGTTTTTGACTTCACACAACACACTTTCTTTAAATCTGTCATCTTTCGGGTCCATTTACTTTCAAAGCCGTTAAGCTATACAAAAGTACTCCACCACCACGTCCTCTTTCTTTATGAATATCACTGTCTTTCCTAAACATGGCGTATCCATTTAGTCAAGTTTACTGTTTTCTGGATTTTTTAGCTCAGGATTCCGATATACCGATGGTATCAGGTTTTTCCCTGTCTACATAAAATTCGAGTTTAGTTCTTTTATCTTTATTTACTACACTTTTTGCATTTACTTAGAAACATTTCAAAATCTTAACAAGTTCATTTTGCCCTTTTGATGTTTTTAACTTTGTTCTCTGATCTTCCGTAATCAGTACTTCATCTTCACTATTCTCATTGCACTGGGCTGTTCTCTCACCTTGAAAATCCATACCTTCGACTGGGTCTTGTTTTTCTTTGCATTGTTTTACTAAGTTTTTGCACTGCTCCCTTTTGTTCTTTGTCATGTCGTGCGTCACCGATAATTTTCTTTATTTTTCTTCCACTTGCCAGAGTTTTGATAAGCTTTCCAGCACTATGTTTTTTGTTCTTTCCCGGAACTCGATGAGTAGTGGTTTTTCCGTCTCTTCAGGTTTGCCTAATCTGAATATGACTGCACAAGGTATTTAAATGAGTGTTATTATTTCTTTTCTGCCTTCGCTGTTCTTTTTTTCGCCTTCTTTTACAAGTGACTCGGCCATTCTATGTATTATTAGGTTGTTCTTTTTCAGATCTTTCTGTTTTTCTTTGTCGCGGATTTCCATTTTTTCTTCACCCTTTTTCATTTTGTCATTAACTGGCCTTAATTCTTTGTTAATTTTTTTGTTGACAATTGTTGTCCATGCTACTTCATTTGTTTTGCTTGTGTTGTTTTCTGCTATTGTTTTAGTTGATTTAATCTCATTTTTAGTTGTCCAATTTCAACTGTATTTTCTTTTTCACTCGTTAGTAACTGACTTTTCAAATTTTCAAATTCAACTAAATGTTCTTACTTACTCGTTTCCAGCTGATTTACACGAGTCATCAGCGGTACTAAGAACTGCGAAATTTTTCAACACCATTCGTCTAGTTTTTTAGTTGGTTCGCCTGCTGCAGTTCCTATTTTTGGCCACTTCTCTTCTTTCAAAAAATCAAGATCCATGTTGATGAGTGATAATAAGTTTTCGATCGAATTTGTTCGAAAATGTTCCGTGCTAATAATACTTTACGGTAAAGTAAACGGGATAATTTTATTAAATTTTAGCTTTTTCTAAGTTTTACAATCTTTAATCTTAAACAATTTATTTTTGAAAATAAAAATTTTATTTTAATTATTAAATTTGTTTACAAAGCAAATTTGAATTTTTTCGTTTTACTTATTTTTCACATATAAAGTCATAAAAATAAAAATAAAAACGCATGTAAGTTAGGCAGACGATGCCATTTTGGTTTGTCTTCAGTTTAAACCACACTGCAAAGATATCCAACATTTACACTGGGAAAAATCAGCTTTGTTGGTTTTAGCCGTCTTCGTTGGTTTTTAGAAATGAATGACGGAAAAGACTTAGTGGAGCTGAATGTTTCTTTAATCTTTAATCTTAAACAATTTATTTTTGAAAATAAAAATTTTATTTTAATTATTAAATTTGTTTACAAAGCAAATTTGAATTTTTTCGTTTTACTTATTTTTCACATATAAAGTCATAAAAATAAAAATAAAAACGCATGTAAGTTAGGCAGACGATGCCATTTTGGTTTGTCTTCAGTTTAAACCACACTGCAAAGATATCCAACATTTACACTGGGAAAAATCAGCTTTGTTGGTTTTAGCCGTCTTCGTTGGTTTTTAGAAATGAATGACAGAAAAGACTTAGTGGAGCTGAATGCAGAAAATTTGCTAAAATAAAAAGATATAAAACAAACAAAACTTATCAATTTCTCATGTCTGTTTTATATCATAACACGTATATCAATGTTTTCAAAAATATTACATTGTACTAGCAAGCTTGTAGTGTGTAATTTAAACAACTGCATCAAACAAAAGCTTACGATAGCTTAATAACAATTGTTTGGTGAGGGAGGATGTGGCAAACTAATCCTAGTTCCCTCCCCAACAAATCTCCTAGTTCCAGCCCTGCACGCTACTGACAAAATTATAGAGATCTGCCAAATGCAAATGCCATTACCATGACTCAAAAATTGTTTAATTGTTTTTTTTATTTATTTCTTAAAAATCAGCTCTGGCGGATGCAAAATCTGTTAAACATGCCAAAAATTATAACTGAAAGAATTAGTTTATTAACAATAATTCCATAATTCAGTTACCGTTTCTGAAAAATACAATAGTATATACATACGTACGTACGTACGTATATATATGGTACAAAATAAACAATGCAAGCAATGCATTCTTAGCAGGTCTCACTCCTATATATATATATATATATATATATATAGGAGTGAGACCTATATATATATATATATATATATATATATATATATATAGGAGTGAGACCTGCTGAGAATGCATTGTTTGCATTGTTTATTTTGTACGATACCTTCGTCAACTTTTCTTTTCAAAATGTGTTATTACTTTCACTCAATTTGCCGTTTGTCACGCAGAATAAAAGTTAAAGTGAAATGAGAGTTAGGATAGAAAAAATTGTTCTGAAAGTCAGTAAAAGAAAAGAGAATTACAAAGTATAAGTTACAGTATAAAGTTAAATGAGTTTTTGCAAGTAAAGTAATGTAAAGTAAAAAAAGGAAAAACATTTTTTAAGTAAACTATCCATGTGTTTTTGAATGGGAATGTTAGTGCCTATTATTTTTAAATGATTCTGGCTAACGAGAATGGTGTCGTAATCATATGGTTGACAAAATTTAGTTCTGATTTTTTTTTCTAATTTTAAATAACTGGTTCAGTTTTCACCAGTGACAAATTTTCAACATAATCCATTCTTCCAACTCCTATAGATAACTCCTAATTAACATTTAAGTTCACCGCTCTTGAAAATTATATTTAAAAAAAGCAGTGTCAACATAACTTTTTGAATTGCAAATGGCGACGGTCTCTCATTTTAATAACTGTCAGCTGACTACGGAGATTGTCCTGACGGCCAAGAATTCAATCTCTGTCCCCCACTGAAGCACGCTTGCAGAGACCATGCTTTCCACGATAGGTTCACAGCGATGACTGCACAAGGGACCGTTTGCGTTCCTGGATGCTCATGTCCACAAGAGAAGGTTTTTTCAACATTAACTTTTTAACAAATAAAAAAATGTATTGCTAGCTTTTCTAATGAAACATTCTAGTATTTACAATTTTTAAGCTCACCGTGTTACATAGGTTTTTTAATATTTCTTTAAATGAATAAATAAATTTGCCGAAATTAGTTTTACTTAATAATTTGAAATAAAAGTATTGGGATGAGTCGTTGGATCGTTGCGTGGATAAGAGCCAGTGCTCGTGTTACGATGAAACAGAAAAAAAGTCATTTCCCGTTGGATCCAGCAAAATGAGAGGATGCGACAACTGGTGACGATTCATTTTTTAAAACGTCATGCAATGTTAAAATTGTTTAATAGGTCCATATGATTATTGTATTAACTTTTGAGTGGCAAAATGGTGTAGTGGTCGAGGCGCATAATCCTGCAGTTGTTCTCTCCCTGGTTTGAATGCAAATAGATCCCTGCCTATTGCATAAAATGTGTACGAGGCGTGAAATTGTGTACATTCACCTGTAGAGTGTGTGTGCTGTTAATAAACTAATTAAAAAATTGATGATCATTAACAAGGTAATTGAAGTTGTCATACTTCATATACGCAGTGCTGTTCTTTGAGTGTTTGATTTTTTTTGGTAATGTAACAAATTCTTCTTACACATTTTAAGCAATAATTATTTAAAATTTAATGAACATTAAAACATCTAGTTAGTAGTTGTTGTTAGGAAAAATGTTATGCGGGGAACAATATGTTCACATTTCAAATTGGGTGAACTTTGTTCTTATTGTGTTTATTTTTTTAATAATATGTTTATTAGAATTTGATTTTTAAATGTTAAGAATCGAAATTTTCCACTCAATATAAAACACAGATAAATTAATCCCATGCATATGATATATGAACGTTTGAATACATTATGGCCTCTCACTTTTCATGCATCAGCACGTGCAATGGCGGCTCGTGGGAGTGCGCACCCATCATCCAATCCAAGTGGTGTCCTGCAGGCCTCGAATATCAAGAAATATTTTATGAATGCGGATCAACTTGCGAGACTTACGGAGATTGCACCGACCCGCCATCAACATGTGGGGGTTGTGCCTGTCCCAGTGGAAAAGTTCTTGACAATAAAGTCATTTTTGCTATTTTTGAAACATTTATAATAACTTTAAAAACAATTTATATTTTCTAATAAGCAAAATTTTGAATGTTTATAAACTGCTGCATAACAATTTTTATTTATTTTTACATTTATTTAATTTTTTTGTTAATAGCTTTGTCCAGAACAATTTGGTAAAAACTTAATTTAAAACTTTTTAAAAATCTTTTAATACATTATGAAATATTTTCAGGGCAATTGTGTTGCACCGACTAAATGTCCATGCTCCTTCCAAGAGCGCTTTTATGAGCCAGGAGAAACTGTAATCAATAATGGAAATAATTGGTTAATATATTTTCGTAAAATTAGTTGGCATAATAGAGCGCCAATGTTCGTGTCGAAGTGACGTGGTTCGATTGCAAAGACGTTCCAGCTTATCAAACGCTGAAGTATATGACGCCCTACTCTGCATACATACATACGAAACGTACACTATTGGGTTCCTGAGAGGTTGAAGCTAGCTATTGAGTGCTAAATAAGTTACAGGGATTGAAATTGTAATAATATGTAACTGTTTAAGATTATTATTAAAAAATTTCATTTTCGTGTGAATATATTGCCAAATTTTAAAATATTTAACTGTTTGATTGCATCCCATTTAAGAGAGTTTTCATGTTCGACATTTTGAATCCAATTTTTTTAGCACTTGCAATGGTAGGAAATGGAAATGTGAAGAAAGTGATACATACAAAGCTCAATGCAAATTGTTCGGAGACGTGTACTACATCGCTTTCGACGGCATGCACAGAGTACACGCTGGCCAATCCAGTTGCGCCTACATTCTTAGTAAGAGTCTTGAGAGCCCAAGTTCTTTTGACTGCGATGCATTGTACATCGCTGCTTCCAATCTCCCCTGTGGTCAGTCTGGAGTCATTTGCTCGAAGGTTGAAAAGTTTGATGTCCAATTAATGAGAATCATCAACGGCAGATTTTTTTTCATTTGACGATTGTTTGAAAATAATTAAACAGTAGTTCAATTTTATTTCAGGTGGTTTCGATTAAAGTTGGTCCATCCGAAGTTACTATCGCCAAAGGAACGAACCCAATTGTGAACGGCATCGTGGCTGACCTGACATCTGGCATGTACGCAACTGATAAAATAACCATCGTCAACACTATCGTACTAACCGTCGTCACCTTTGATAATGGAGTCTCCATAGTCCATGATGGAGGTTCCTAAAAATGTTCTTAACCTTTTGCTTTTTCAAGAATTTTCAAATTTCATAACTTTCTATGTTTTTATATGTTTAACATTTTAACCCCATACAACATTTTACGATTATTTATTTCCAACTTTGTCAGTAGCATAAAATGTCATACGAACGACAGGAACGAAGGTGATCATCTACTTGCCATCTTGCTACAGAAGGAAAGTGGATGGTCTCTGTGGCCCATTTGGAAGTTCGGATACCAGCGGGAACGCTCCGGACGCAAACTCACCCTCTCAATGGAGAGTTGATCCAACATGTCCAGAGCCCTTCCTCGATGCTTCTTTTGATCCATGCAAGGTTTTCAAAATTTTTAAAATCATCCGAACAAACTAAAATTATATAAAAAGGAAATTAAACATTAAAAGTTGCTTGGTTTTGTTTATTATAATTATATGTTCGCATGTTTGTCCACAGGCCCACCCGGAGCGAGTGGCATGGGCGACCTCCTCCTGCTCCATCATCACGAAAGGAGCCGTGTTTGCCGACTGCAGAAGGGTCGTCAACTATGAAACATTCTTCCAGGAATGTATGGCTGCCTCTTGCGAGTAAGATTTGAAACAGTAATGATCATTATCATCATCGCTAATTGTCACAAACTCAGATGTCCACTATTGTCTAAAACGGCAAATTTTTGTCAGTGTTTTTGCATCGAAACATTTTCTCAGTTTGTTTTCTTAATTCAACAGAAACATTTTTCTCAGCTTGTTCTCTAATTTTTAGTATTGTTTATATTGCTTACAAACAAATTTTTCAAATCACCTCAATAGACTTCACTGCTAGTGGTTACAAATTTTTCAATTACAAAATGAAGTGTTGTTTTATAATTCTTTGTTTGGAAACATTTTTACACTTCTGTATGGAACATTAAGAAGAAATCACTTTTTTAAACCTTGTATGACATTAAAATGTGAAATTGGTTTTTTAAATGTCGATAATTGATTGCTTTCAGAGATGAACCTTCAACCGGTTATTTGTACCCTAACTCTTTTTCACATTTAAATCAAAATTACCAAGCACAGTTTTATCAAAATAAAGTCGACGTATAATTGCTTGCCAAATTTGTAAAGCATAAACAAAACAATTGTAACAAAAAGCAAAACATTTAAATGAGCCAGGACAGCAAGCCAGCTGCCGAGGAATTGATATAATTACTGTTCTATTTCTGATTTTAAAAATTACATATATATGATATTGATTAATATTTCTTTTTTGGAAATTCTATCTAGATCCAGCACACAATTCAGCACTAACCCTAATATTCAATTTAATAATTAAAATAATAATTATCATTTTATTATTTTAACAAAAATTCAATTATAATAGATTCTATGGCAAATTAATTATTTAATTAATTGATTGATTCATTCATTAAAGTAAATAGATAATAAATTATTTTCATTAATGTTATTACAATAAAGCTGTGACACGGGCGGGGATTGCCAGTGCATGTGCACGGCGATTGAAAGTTTCGTGTCTGCCTGCGTTGAGCAAGGAATCTGCGTCAACTGGAGGTCCAACCATTTCTGCCGTAAGCTTTTCTTCTTCACTTTTTCAGTTTTTCATTATACATTTGTTTATGGCAAATAACTGCACTGAATTTTGTTAATATTTACTTATGAAATCTTTCCTTTGCAGCGGTCATGTGTCCAGAGGGGCAGGTGTACAGGAGCTGCCACCCGACCCACAACAACACCTGCCGTGCACCATTCTTCAAAAATGACGACCAGCTTCAAATCGAGGGATGTTTCTGCCCTGGCAACAGTGTGCTAGATGGTGAGCTTTCAGATATTCTACATAGCTTGCTTTCTTTTGTTTTATATCGGTCACTTGCGAATATTGCGAGTAAATTTGTTAAAAAAATTGGATTTTTGAAACATTCCAGAAAAGGGGCAGTGCATACCGAAAGAAGCGTGCGGATGTGTGGTTGGTTCTGAAGTTGTTGAGGCTGGCTCAGAAACTGTCATCAACTGCCAAAACTGGTAGGTTCTATGAGAGTTCAAATTCAAATTATTAAAAAAAGTAATTATTTGTAACAATCTTGCGAAAACAAATTCAAAACTTTTCAAAATATTGAACGCACAATAATAAGAATGAAATAATGAAACATCTGTTAGAGACATTGAAGCAGTATCAACTCAAACACAACATCGCTAATAAAATGCCACAACCAACATAAACCCCAAAATAACCGCAAAAAGCAAGCAAATTAAATTTAAAAAATAATTAAATATTAAAATGCACGACAGCTTGTGCCACGAAGGAGTTTTGAAGTGCTTTGGCGAGCCATGTGAGATACACTGCACTGAGGATGAATTCCAATGCGTTACAGATCGAAGGTGCATTGATATGGACAGGAAATGTGATGAAATTCCGGACTGCTCCGATGGATCCGACGAAAGTGGATGCAGTCAGTACACGATTACATTTCTGCTCCATTGACATGATTATATTCACACGATAAGTTTCACATCCACGTTTTGAATTTAGACCGTCATATATAATTTACATCAGCTTTGAAAATTTAAACGATCGTATGCATTGGGTCAAAAAATTAAGTCAATTGTTATTCCATTTTGTTTCATTTTTGTCAGCAACCTTTAAATGCCTTTTTTATTGAAATGTAAGTTGGTTTACAATTTAAACCAAAAACATTTTCAATTTATATATTAATTTATGTTGATTCATCATTAATTCCCGCTGGTATATTAATTAAACAAGGATGTAATAATTATATGATCAATAACAACTTCAATTGTGATCACTCTTTCAACATTAACGATTGAAACATGATTGGACGTTAAGATATGACAGTAAATAATTTTCACACGAAGATGTTTGCAATCCCGGCTCCTTCAAATGTGTGGTCAGTGGCGAGTGCATCAGTGAGAGTGGCAAGTGTGACAGCCACATCGACTGCAAAGATGGGAGCGATGAAAATGAAGAAATGTGCAGTTAGTTTACTTTGACTCCGCAGTAGCCATTTTATTTTTTGAATGTGCTGACCGACTGGGCTGGCAGATATCCAAAAACAAACAGTTGATGAAATAAATTTTGAATTTCAACATTCACGTGAAACTAATGAACAGAAAATTGTATCCCTAGACAATTTTAAAATACACACAATTATCAATTTTAATTTGGTCTCGCCGAACAAACACATACAGGTGTGAAGTCAGCCACGATAATGTATATATATATATATATATATATATATATATATATTTATATATATAATTATTTATAAAGATCACCGCGTTTTCGGCATTATTCAACTTGTAGTTGAGTTTCTCAATTTTCTAACGAGACTTTTATCATCTACAAGTTGAATAATGCCGAAAACGCAGTGATCCTTATCAATAATTGTATTTATGATAGTCTAAACCCATAATATATATTTGTGTGTCTGTACAAGTACATACATATATATATATACATATATATGTGTATATGTATACATGTATATATATACGTAAAATACGTACATATATATATATATATATATATATGTGAAATTTTCGTATAATTTTCTGTTCTACAGCGTTTAATTTTTCCCAACAAATTCACCTGAACAGAGTGTCACGATGGATACTTCAGGTGCGTGAAGAACAAACACTGCATTCCACCACGCCTCCTATGCGATGGCAATTTTGATTGTGGACCCGACGACAACTCGGACGAGTTGGGTTGCACGACCACCTCTCCACAGCCATCCCCACCCCCCACTCACTTCATCACTTCACCACCTCTCCTAGGTTTGTCAAATGTTGTTTGGCTATATATATATATATATATATATATATATATAGGTTAAGATAACTATATAAAAAATAATATAATTTAATATAATTTAATAATATAATTTATAGATAAGTTACCATGATGGAGACTAACAGATGATTGTGAAAATAATCATTCTGAGTTGAATAATGGCATTGTATTGAATTGCTAAGGAATTCATTGCATCTATCATTATAAGTTATACTACATTATGCTGAAGATTGGAAAGATTTTAAACGAAGCGTTGCACGTCAATATAAAAATGTAAATAAATCGCGTTGGCCACCGGAGAAGTATTTGATGTGGTTCTCATCTCAATGCAGTGACAACATCCTCGTTCCTCTGTGAGCTACAAAACTTGATGATCGAGGGAGGGGTGGAAATCGAGCCGGAAGCATCGAACGGGGTATTCCAGTTTGATGTCTCAGACAACAGCCAACAACTGGGCCCGATAAAAGTGACGTCATCCGACGACACCACCCACTTCATGAACTTCCAGATGAACATCATTGGCTCAACCGCAGTCAACATGATTGTCAAAGATAGCACAGGTGGTGTTGTCTTTCAGAAGGTGGCAGTCTCTTCAAATACAGTGAGAAAGAAATCTTTACTCGCTTGTTGTTTGATGTTTCTTTGTTGTCTCTTGTATGTGCGTGCATGCGTTATGTACGTAAAAAGTGGCACACACACACACACATGTAGAAATATCTAAATGAATACACAGATTAAACAAACACACATGCGCGCACGCACCACACACACACACACCACACACAAACACACGCTCGCACACACACATTTATATATTTATTTATTTATAATAATTTATTCAATTACTTATTTAATTTTTTTAATTCAATAGTTTTTTAATAATTGAGTTTTAAAGAAACTTTTTAATTGTAAATATCTCTGAAAAATTGTAAAAATTTTCAAAAAAGTAAAATGGAATTGCGGACCCCAAATAAAGATGAAAATTCTCAAACTATCGCAGGTTGACGGCGACAACTTCCTGACTGAGGAAATCAATAGAATTGGGAAATCGATTGAATTTGAAATCCCCCCCTCTGATACTAACATGTCAGGAGTAACCGTAAAAAATCTGGTCGTTTGGATATGCAAGGAATTAGGTGATTTTCTGGATTTGAATTTTTTTTGTGGGGCCATGTTTTAAATTATTTGTTTGTGGCTTTGTAAGGATAATCTTCAAACACGGAATTGCTCTGTAGTCTAAATATCAAACATTTTGAAGAGAAAATTGCATTTTGTTATAAGACCATTGGTTCTTACATTGCAATATTTCATTCCAGGTTCCACACCCTCCATATCGTCAACCACTCCTACAACTCTTCGTAAGTCTATAAAAATTTAAAAAAAAAGAATTTCATATTATCATAACTTGAAAACATACCATAAGAGCGTACATAATAATTTGTGCACATTCATAACTTATGTTTATTTATAATTCATTAACTTTCATTAATTCATGAATATTCATTATAATTCACGAACATTTATTCATAATTTATAAACATTTGTTCTAATTTAGGAACATTCGTTGTAACTCTTACAGCAGGTGAGTTTTATGAATGCGTTTCATCTGAGGCTACGGACGATCCCCACACCAAAGTTAACATCTTTCCTGAATCCGTCGAATCGAATTCCAAAAAATCTTTCCAGTTTGAAGCAAGCGACGATGCACCAAGATATATTGTAGTCACGTTTGCTACTGAAGTTGATGAGATCCAATCCATTTCCTTGAAAGGTGTCAATGTTGAGAAGGTTGATATTTTTATACAAGATTCCAGCGAAGGAACCCTTGAAAGTGTCAGCGGTGATCTGCAAAATGACGTAAGTTGAAAACGTTGACCTGTGTTGAGTATGTGTATCTCTTCATATCTATGAGTCTTATCGTTTCTATTTGTAATAACATATCGCAAGTTAAAAAGTTACATTTTCATGTTAAATTTGAATTTGCAGTTTTTTAACAAAACGCTTGACGGGAAATATAAAGCAAAATCGGTGAAAATCATTCCGCATAAGAAAGATGGTCTTGTATATTCAATAATTAATCTTTCAATAAAAATCTGCAGAGAGCAAGGTGACTAAAATCAATTTTGTATTAAATTAAACATATTTTAAATGAATATTTTCCAAATTCATCTCAATAATTAAATTTAAAAAATAATTTTTTCGCAATAATAATCGACGATAATATGAACTTACAGGCACCACACAAGGTTTTTCTACAACAACTGCCATTGTTCCAGGTTCTTTAAAATCTGTTGTTTTGTTTCAATATTTAATCTTTTTTGATTTTTTTTGTTTCCTTAATTTTTAGCAAAATCAAAATTCTCATGCCGCAGCCTGCAACTGAAACTACGAAATTTGTATCGGCGTGACGGTCTGGTGGTTAAGGTCGCCTGGTGCTGTTTTTCAGTGAGTGCAGTAACCGGGTTTGAATATGATAAGAAGACCCTCGCCAGTAACATGCTTCGTGTGTAATGCACGCTTAGCACGTTTTCATTCGCGATGCTTGTGTATTGTTGATTTCTCTGAACTTTGGAAAAGTTTATAAGACCTTTCGGTGTTTAAGAAACAATTGAAAACTTTGTTTGCGGGTGATTGTGAGGGCCTATGTGACTGTCACTTAAATTGCATTTTCATTATTATCTTTATTATTACTATTATTATTATTATTATTATTATTATTATTATTATTATTATTATTATTATTATATTGCTGTTGTCATTATTATTTTGAACTATTTTAAGCACTTTAATATTTTGATTAACATTTCTGAAATCTCGCCAATAGGTTTTTATAATTCTTTTAATTTATCTTTTATAAATGTAAAATGGGCCTGTCAATTTCGAAATAGTTTAATTATATCGTCATCATATGCTGTGTACTGTGACAAAAACATCGCGTGAGCCAACTTTTTTAAGTACTCTATCATCATTGTACTCATCATTACTCATACTTATCATCATTAAAATGGCGAGCAATGACGTTTGCTATTTTTCGTATATCAGTCAAAACCAGTTTTTCAGGAAATTTTCCAAAATTTTTTTTAGATTTTCAGAAATACTCCTAAAGCCTACGCTACTTCAGGGATAAATTTTTTATCTCGATTTGAAGACTTTTATATTTACAGATTTTTTCTTTTTTTTTAATAACATTTAAATCCTTTGGCTCTAGTAAGACTATAGACAAGCATATATTCTTAATTTTATCCGGGAAGATGATACCTGGCCTACCTACTTTTATCTTCTATCAGCTGTAACTGGAGTGTCCCATAAAATTTGTCCATGGATATAATCTGTTACTTTTTAAATTCCAAATCATACCATTTTATTTTACAGGAGTTTCTAATCCAATGTATGTAGTCTGCTACTCTGTTGTGCTTTCTGGTATATGCTATTTGTGACAGTGTAGAACATTCATACATGATATTTTTCATGACCGTTGCTTTCAACATGATTGTGATGCATTCTGGAGACCATCAACATTCTGTTTGAGCAATCTATTCTGAAAATATTTCGTGTTTAGTGTCCGTTCCTGTGAGCTATCAAAAGGCTTTCCGTTTCTACATTTGATATGAAGTTCTTAACCATTTCTATGTTTTTATCAAGTCTTTTCCCGGTTTATTTACATTATTACAAAATTGACCGTGAAGAAGTTTATTTTTACACTTTTTGTTATGTTTAACTTTCTTTGAGTTCTTTGAGTTTTGTTTGGTTTATATTTTTGTCTATAACATAAAGTGGATATTACAACTGCCATGTTATAACAATTAAAATCTGGGTGCACCTGGAAGTTTTACACTTAGGAAAACAAGTACCCCTGGATCAATCGCAAACACTGAAAAAACCACGTGACAACCTTTTGTTTAAAATATTTTTATAAACTTATTATAACTTGAATTTTTATTAATTCACATTTAAGAATCAAAGAAACAGAAATAGTCAACTTTTCAGAACAAAATAAACGTTGAGACAAAAAAAAACCATTATCAAAATTAGTTTAAAAAATAAAATAAACAGCCGGAGATCATACACAAACATGCATAAATAACAATTATTTTATACCAAAAAAAATATAAAAATCATTTATATATTATAATACTATTTGATAAAAATCTTAATTTACATTAATAATGAAATTTTATGATGTCTTTTATTTAATTTTAGTTACAGTTCAAACTCAGTGTGAAAGCTTGGAATGGACAAAGGAGCCAGATGTGGAGATTTATGTTGATCCGGAAACAACACTGAAATCGGAAGATGGCGTCTTCAACTTTGTTAACACTCCAGCAGATGGCGGCGTAATAAACATCACTTCGCCCAAGTTGTCCACAGAGATCATAAAAGTTTCCTTCTTAACAGAAAATGTCACCTCTGTGCGAATCATTATAAGGAATGTTGCGAATGAAGTAGTGACAAATATAACCAAAGATGTTCAACAAAATGTCAGCATTTTTTTTACATTTATTTTTTGATTTTATAATTCTTATGCCAAATCATTGGATATCTTTTTTGTTACACGATTCAATTGAAACATTGTGTGTGTGTATGTGTGTGTGTGTGGTGTGTGTGTGGGATGTAATTATTGGTGAAAATCACAGCATGTTCGGCGTTAGTTAACTTCAAATTTAACTTTTCGATTTTTCCAACGGTTGATCGTAAATCATACATCATACACAACATAACAATTGGAACACCGATGATGGTATGGGAATATCGAAAAAAGCTTTTTTGTTCTATCATGCATAAATAAACAAAAATTTTGGTTTTGAACTAAAGAAACTGATTTACGATCAAGCTTTAGAAAATCGAAAAGTTAAATTTGAAGCTAAATAACGCCGAACATGCTGTGATTTTTATTTATAATTACATTTCTAACAGTCTTAATCTTATATATATATATATATATATATATATATATATATATATATATATATATATGTAGTTGAAAATTTGTCGACCTGTTGCTGCAGATACGGCCGGCCGGTCGGCCAGTATGATTACATAATGTACACAATCTCTAACCACATATTGTACACTAGTTCTCACTACATAATGTACACTATCTCTCACAACGATCATAAGTTCCTATTGACCAAAATGTGCTTTTGTGAATCAGCATAAAATAAAATAAATCAAATAAAACGCCTCAGTCTGCAATATTGCTAGTTAAGATAGTAAATGCACTAAATTAGTGTTTAAACTATGGCTAATGGGACGAAACACGTCTTGTCTGAACAAGTTAGGCGTTCACAATATTGCACTATTGGTCATGGTGAAAGATAAGGTTATATATTCGTACCGGCCGACCGTATCTGCAGAAGCAATTCGACAAATTTTCATCCAATGTATTTATATATATGTATATATATATATATATATATATATACTCATTTATATACTTACGCGAATATATATATATAAACATATATATATATATATATATATATATATATATATATAATGGTAATTACATTGATTTTGTTAAGGTATTTTCTTTAAATGCCCAATTCACCGGCAAATCGGTTGAGATTAGAATCTTCCCAACAAGCAACTCGGCATTCTCTGTTAAAGAGTTTTCAGTGAAAATTTGTAAGGAAGGTTGGTCATGCAATAAAATATGATGGTTCAATGCTAACTGTTAGATGATGTCGATTTAAAAATATTTTTTCTTAAATTTTTTGTTCATGTTTAAATGAAACTATATGACAGGCATTTGAAATTTAATTCCAGGAACTACTGCTATATGTGTTGGAGAGACAACAGCTCCATCCATCAGTCAGTGACTTTCAACGTTATTCATAAACCAAAATTATATGCATATGTTTGGCTCATAAAAAAAACTTTTGATGATAAATATTTTAAAATAAATGAAATTAATTGCTAGGTTCTACGCCAGGAATAACATGCAATGAGGTCAGCTTATCGAACGATCCATCTCTTTCGGTGAGCACTGTCCCAGAAAGCGACGTTGATGCCACTGCTGACAGTTTCATTTTGAAAACCGACCAAAACATTAGACAGCCGCGAATCACTTTCACGACAAGCAGCACAAGAATGCTGACAAGCATTGAAATTGAGGCATCCAATGCTGGCAGTGTTTCGATTCTTGTGAATAGCAGTGATGTTCGTCAGTTCGAAGTTGTACAAGAAGTCGCTGCAGAGGTGAGTTTTAGTGAAATTTCTGTCTTTATTAATAACATGGTAGAATAGTACAATATAAATCAAACTTTTCGTAACAAGAATGCACTATTTATATATTACAAATACTTACAATTGCAGAAATTAATAATTCCCGTGAGAAAGGAAGCTGACAGTATAGTTTTAACATTCAAACCAATTAACGGAGCTAATGTTCTGTTGAATAAATTAACATTATGGGCTTGTGAAGAAGGTTGTTTTTTCATGTTTTTTTTTTGTTTATTAGACTGCTGAAATATTTTTTGTTTTTCCTGAATTGCACTTGAATAAATATTAAAATGCTGTGACCGATTTTGCCACATTCAAACAATAATCCAACACAGCCAGTCAGTGTGCAAGTGAAGATTTATTAGGAACTGATGTTTCCATTAGTTCAAATCCACAGCTAGATAGCACTGCAGCAAGCGGACCTTACTCGTTTGTTCCTCAAGTGAACGTGCCCAAACCAAGCATCACCATTTTCAGTTTAATACCGAAAAAAATTATATTAGTTGAAGTTCACACTGTAAACGTTGACGAAATGACTGCGATATTGCAAGTTGGAAATGAATTGAAGCAATATCAAAAAACAGTCAAGAATGGGGTATGAAAAAAAAATTGTTTGATATAATTTTTATTCACGTAAAGTTCATTTTTATTTAGGTTGAGCACTTTTTATGTACATAACTCAGCCTTTTCATCAGTGAAAATATTCAATTCAATACTTAATACATACACTTAGCAAAGCTCATTTCAAAATATCATTATAAAACGTACGATTTGTGCAAATTATTCAAAACATATAGAAAATATTCCATTGTTTTGTTTAAAAAAAATTATTTTTGTATAATCGAAGTGTTTAATTATTTATCAAATTTCACTTTTGGCAGATTGTTAAACTGTCTACCAATGATGTAACAAATATAATCACAATTGAAATAACACCTACTAATTTATCTGTTGAATCAACTGTTAAGGAATTGATCGTAAAAGCATGTAGCGAATGTAAGTAGTTGGAAATATTTACTATTTTATTTTTAATTAAAATTTATAAAAAAAAAATAAATTTTATATCTTATTCGTCTGAATAATTTATATTAGCGTCAAATACATCCTTTACTACAAGAATCACGGCTCAAAAAACAACGTCATCACTTATAACGAAATTTTCAGCTCTAGGAACAACTCCTCCTGTTACGGAATCTTCAACTCCAGGAACAATTCCTCATGTTACGGAATTTTCAACTCCAGGAACCATTCCTCCTGTTACGAAATCTTCAACTCCAAGAATCACCGTTGAAACAAGTTAGTTCTTTTATCAAATTTACAAAAACAAACAACCGTTTCTTTAAAAGTTGTAACAGTGTATTATAGAGACAATAATTTTTTCTATATGATCAAGATTTTTTGTTCTATATTGCATAAAATAAACATATATTTTGGTTTTTAACTAAATAAACATGAAAATGATTTAAAAGTTAACTCTGGAATATAACTAACGCCGAACAAGCTGTGACTTTCATCAATAATTGCATTTCTGGCAGTCTTAATCCTATATATATATATATATATATAGATAGATATATACAATATATATATATATACATATATATATATATATATAGATAAATATATACAATATATATACATATATATATATATATATATATATATATATATATATATATATATATATATATATATATGTTTGAACCATAATATTATTAACCAAGTTGATTCAATTAAATTTTTGGGTATACGCTTACAGAGTAATTTATCTGGGGTAGCCATATCACTTTTGTTACTGGGAAAATATATCAGTACTTTGGTATACTGTATAAGCTGAAGCATTAATTGACTGCGTCAATCTTAAAATTTTATATATTTGTTTAATTTATCATTATTTGTCTTATGGTATTTTAATATCGGGCAATGGTCCAGCGTATTTAATTAATCAAAAGTTTATAACATAGAAAAAATATATAAGAATTTTATTAAATTTAAATAATAATTCTCATGTGCAACACTTCATTGGATCGGTAGGTGTACTAACTATAAAAAAATTATATTTATATTTCTCTGCAATTTTTTAAAATATATAAATGACTTGCTACCACCTTTTTTTAATTTTGTCTGTATTTAGAAAACAACATAAAAAACAGAGTTACAAGACGACAACATACTTTTAATATTCACTCAACAAGATTAAAATTGTTACAGGTAAGTCCGTTTCACTATGACCTCGAGGTTTGGAATTAAATAATTCCAAATGACATTAAAAAATTTTCTAATTTATTACTTTTCAAAAAAAGCTTGAAGATTTTTATGTTTATGGTATGTTATCATGACTTGTTTTTTTATTTTTCTGATTGCCAAAAGCGTCTATTTGGTATATTAATGTTTAACATGTAAAACAGCATTCCATTTACTTTAAATATTTCAAATCTGTCAAAACATTCATGTTTTGTTTTCAACTTTGTGAATTTTAGTTCATGCAGAGATATCATTTTGTCACTTCATATTATACATTTTATTTTAGGGTGGCAGTAATTGTTGGGCTAGTTATAGATCGTTACGGTCTCCGGCTTGTTTGGCAATAAAACAAAAAAATGAAAAAAATATATCTATGGTGCAATTATTAATAATTGTCAACGATTATCACAGCGTCTTCGACGATATATAAATAAATGCAGTATTGTATGAATTCAACCAATTGATTGAATAATACAATTAGAAATTTGTCATTTCAATTTTCATCACTAGAAATTTCCAAAAATTGTTCAATAATCTAAGTTCATTAAAAAATTTAATGAAAAGGTAATAATTCGAATAACGACAGCTCCATTTACCGCCGTTCCCACTGGCTCGACCGGGCCAGTCGTGGAAACGACGACGCCGCCAGTGCCAGAATCAACGACAGCCGGCACTCAAGCAACGCAACCAGGACAAACGACAACGGGTCCCATTGAAACGACAACCCCAAGTCAGTCAGTTGGACCTATTAAAGAGCAGGAGAAAAGTTAGTTATCTTGTTTAGTCTTCTGTGAACAAAAAAATATAACGCCTAAATTTTGTTATAAAGCAACTGCTGCGCCTGGCACCACTCCTCCGAGTCTCGGCGGCACAACGAAAACCGTTCCATCAGCCACGGTCAGCAAGTGCCGAGTCAGCGACATCATCGACAGCTACGATTCGTCTGTTGCATCGCATCCAGGAAATCCGATCGAAGATAAATCAACGTTCGTTATACCGCAAAGCATCGAACCCTCTTTCGTGGTATCATTTGGAGAAGCAG